TTATATTTTTAAACAATAAACAATTATTTATTTTTATTTAAAAATTTAAATATATTTTTTTATTTTCTATATTTTTATACATTAAACAATAAGTTTATTTATGTTTTATAATTTGATTTACATTTTTCCTATTATAATATTTAATTCTTATTAATTTTCAACATATTTTACAATATATCATACTGTAGTATTTCTAGAAATTCGGGAATAAAAACAGATACAATAAGTTCGTAGCCCATATATTTTTACTGTTGGTTTAATTCTACTTCATTATTCCTTAAATTGAGGGATCATCAAAAAATCATCTATGCTAAAGACTTATTTTTCTTCTTAATTTCTACATTATCGGCTACCTCTTAAGATAGGCAATCAATGTATTGTATCTTCATTATAAATGCAACAAAAAGAATAAGATTTTCAACTTCCAATAGAGTTTAATTGACTCTAAATTAATATTTCTTTTAATTGGAGTAAAATAAATCAGAGAATAAAAACACACACAAAGAGTTAGATCTATATTATCTTAACGTTTATTTTTATTTTAATATTATTTACCCAATTTATAAATTATAATGATTTTAGAGCGGATTTACAAAAAATCAATTTCAATGTAATTGGATATGTGGTCGTTAGTTTTCTAATAAAATATATAATGATATATATATATTCCCTAAAAAGTCCTCTATCATAATTATTATACCCTTTCTGCAAGACAGCAAATCATACTTTTCTAGCTAAATTTATTAACATCCTTAAATTTTGTATTTAAAATAAAAAATATCAACACAACTAGAATTATCTATAGACTTCTTATCTAAATTTCAATGGTATAAAATCACACTTTATATCAGCATTTTTTATTGAATTTAACAAATAATTTTAGCTCAACATTTAATAAATAATGTGTAAATTAGGGTTTCTGAATAGTCAAAATTGTTATATTTTCAAACATTTCTGAAGATATGGAAATAAAAAGAAAATACATGTAGAAAAAGAAAAGTAAAGAAGGTTTTAAAAATAATAAACTTATTTGGAATATAAATGCTGTTAATAAAATTAATAATGAAATTGAATATTTGCTTAATTAATAAGACAATATGATATTAAAGTAAGATTTATGAGAAATGCAAACTCAATTTAGGAATTTCTTTCAGCTTCATTTGTATATTTATAATAAATAATAAAAAATAGAAATAATAATTCTTATTAAGATATTTATTAATAATAAACAATGAATAATGATTTCATTGGTTCTCGAACTTTTTAACAGTAGCTCTAGTTTTAATTTGTCTTTCAAAATTTCTTAAGCAATTGAGACAATTCCATTTTCCTTATGGTACTTCTTTTAGGTTTAAACATTTAGGATGAAACACTTTAGGACATGTATCACAACAAATAACTTTACCACCTTTATTACATTTTTAGCATCTATCTTCCCATTTAGTTTCTGTTTCGTTATATTATGGTTTATTTTAATTTCTTTTTCTAAGGTTTGATGTAGGATTAAGTTATGAATCTAAGAGGTTATCAATTTATTATTCAATAATCTTTTTAGTTGTTGATTCATCAGGTTTTTTTTAAATAATAGGTGGTTAAATAAATGATTGGAGTTGAATTTATTTTCTATCAATGTAATCTTTAACAATTTATCCTAAAACTTCTAGACATATTTTAATTTTTGGTAGATTGCATTCATTTTTTAATTATGCTATCAAATTTAATCTTAATGTTTCATAATATGTACCAAATAATTTCATAGGTAATTTTCTAATTCTAACTTTTCCATTTTCCATTTATTCTAGTTATTAGAGCATAGTTTAAGGTAATTCATCAATTGATGAATCATCTTCAACAACTTTTCTTTTTCTATTTGGTTATTAATATGAATCATCTTCATTTTCTATATATTTTTCATCTACATCTTCATCTAATCTCAATTCTAATTTTTCTTACATCATAGTATTATCTATAAAATATTCAATTGCAGAAGTAAAAGGTTTTAAATCATCTTCATCTAAATCTTAAATATTTTTATTTTATATAACATTTTAGAAACTTTTAATAAAATAATTCCTAGATTCTGTACTACACCATCTTGAATTTTTAAAATTTAAATATTAAGTTAAACTAGATTCTATTTAAATAAATTCATTAATAAGTTATTCTATTTCCAAATTCATTAAACTATTTACTCTATCTGGTAATTATTCACTAGGTTAATTAATTTCTTATTCAATATCTTGTTTAGTTCCATTTAAAATATTTTCTTATTCATGTATATTTTCAATCAATAATTTAGATCTTTGTAATTCAATAATATTATTTTTAAGAGTATATTCTCTGATACCTTTGGAACATAATGAATTAAGTAAATTAGTGATTTCTTTTTAATCATAATAACCCCATTATACTGATCCTTCATCATCAATAATAGAATGTCTCATACAAACAAATATCTTTTCAGGTTCATATAAAAAGAAATAGTAAGAACTATGTTTGGCATCTTATCCTAGACACATAGATGGATTTAATAATAAAGCAGGCATTTATGTTATTGCTAATTCCTATAATTAAATATTAGAATAAATTACTTTATCATATTCACTATATCTTTCAGTTAGAGTAATAATTTCTTTTTCTAATTTTTAGTATTATTATTTCTATTTTTATGCTTACTTTTAAGCAATCTCCATTTAACGAGTATATTTCTATGCTTCAACTCTTGTTAAACCTTCTGATTATAATTAAGACTATTTAAATAATTATTATTACTTTAGCTATTGATATATTACCTTCAGCTTCAATTATCTCTTTTTTAACATCAATTTATAAACTTCTCTATTATTTTATTTACATTCCTAATTGTTATTTAATACGATTATTTGATAATAGATTTTCAGTTCTAAATTAATATAAAAACTAAGTCTTTTTCAATCCAGCTAATCCATCAGACAAAGATATGATTAATCTACAAAGTTTTTTAAGATCTGTATAATCATTAAAATCCATAAGATCTAAAGATAACTATAGGATGCCTTATCTTGAGATATTTGTTGGTAATTGTTTAATATCATCTCTTAAGAGTTCATAATATCTATTTCTATTTGTAAACCACATATATCCTAATAGATGCCAGTATGGAATTTTCTATCAATTATAAATAACAAAAAGTACATATTATTATTTTTGCATTTATTCTTAATCAAAATCTTCAATTATTTATTTCAAGTAAAAGTAACTAAAAAATAAGATGAGTTGTTCTGGTTTTGTTTATATTAATTAATATATTTCTAATCTACCTTTTTAACTGTATGGAACATGGTTATCTTTAAAGTGAATTAAAGTACCTATATTATTGACTTAGCTTTATTCTATTTTAGATTAAATAAATTACATTCAGATTGTTGTTCTCCTGCATATAAAATATCACTGACTATTTTATCCATGTTATTATAACTATCCCATATCTTCAGAATGTCTTCAAATAAATCTTAAGGTATGTTAGGATCAAGCTAAAGTGGAGGCTTCTTTTTCATCTCTATATTAAACAATCCTTAATAGGCAGTAAGATATTCATCAAATATTGGAAAAATAACTCTTCCTTAAGAAACATATGTTGGATATTTTAGTTGAAATTCTGAATGTTTTTTAGTTTTATCTTCTTAAGTCTATGGTGTTTTCTAAAAAAAGTCAAGTATTTAATTGGTTTTCTTCTTTTTCTAAGGTTCTGACTCTTTTAGTTTTCTTTTAGCCATTCTTTCTATACATGACAAGCAATGCCATTTAGTACCTTCCTGAAATTATGGCTCTTTATTTTAAGTTCTTATGCATTCCTAATGGTACTTAAAGTGGCACCTTATACAAATCACAGTTGGTGTTGACATTGTACTCTCCTTACATAATCGGCATATTGATTTATCTCCAAACTATTATTTACCATCAATCGGCTTTTTCTGTTCAACCTTCTTAACTAATTTCTTTTCTTTCTTGTCTTTCTTCTTTTTCTGATTGTCTTCTTCTTAAGATTCAATTATTAAATCATCTTCTCGGTTCTACTATTCTTAACTATCCATTAAGTATGTCTATGATTTATTTCAAATAATTTAAAACTAGAATCCAAAGAAGTGCTATTAACTTAATTACTATTATATTATAATATGCAAATTTTTTATAAACTTCACATTCCTTAAACATTTCATACCTATTAATGATTTTCTAAATTGTTTATATTTACAGCATAACATCAATACATATTCAATCACAAATTCATTATTATCTAACAATTAATTATCATCCAATTAACTAACCTGATTATTATTATTTATATAAACCACAACTATTTACACTAAATTCACTCTCTTTATAAATCTACCGATAAAAACTCAAAATACTATCTATTCATTCCATACCCAATTAATCAAATTAACTCTATCTAAAATATTTATAATTATTACTATTAATCTTATCAATTAATCCATCAACCTGTTATTTACTATTATTTACATGATTATTCCGTAATATAGCTATTCAGCTATCAATTATATAATCAATATTACACTATTCTATATATTTTTAATTTTGTTCATTCTACACACTAACCATTTTTGATTATTTTAGATATTAATATATATTTATGAAAAGTGCGAATTCAAATTAACTATTTACATCTGTCCCTGATTCTAATGAAATAAATGAATATATCAAAGAATACCTTAGATATTCTGCTTATTCTAATACCCTTGAATGTTTTGAAGCTGAAATTAAAAGTAAACAGGTTTCCAGTAAAGTAATTAATATTCATTATTTAGATGTTAAATAAATAACAATAATCCAAATAATCTAATGATGAAATACCAAGAATCTTTCAATTATTTAAAACTGACAATGTCAAAACCAAAAGAGAAATTAATTTAGAAAAAGAACAAAAATTATTTAATAAAAAATATCAATAAATATTATAGGCAGGTAGATAAATCTTCTCAGTAAGTATTAATCTTCTATAATTATTACATTCATTAAAAGAGACTGCAAAAAATGAAAATCTAAGTGAAACCTTAGAAAATTATAAAATTTAATTAGGAAAATATCATAAAGTCATCATCAATGAAGGAAAACCAGAGGGAACTGAACTTATTACTGAATAAGTTATGCATGAACATAAGACTAAGCTTTTTAAAAATTACCAAGATAAAAATATTGATGGTATGATTGAAGTATTATTGTCTTTGAGAGTAAATGCTCTATAAATTGCTCCTGAATTAAGAAAAAATTTAGTTTATGAATTAATTAGAAATGACGTTTTTAATATAGAAGCTACTGAAAAATTTGATTTCGTTGTTCATCTTTTAGACATCAATAATCAAAGTTTGAGACATGCTATCACTAGTTTGATAAGTGTAATTAGTAGCACTCTAAGAGGTGTTGAATATTTAACATTTAATGGTAATATGATTATTATTGAAAAAATAATTAAAATTTTAAAAGAATAGGAAAATGGATCTGTTACTTAACGATTTTGTTTAGCTATTTTACAAAAAGCTAGTATAAAGGATACAGTAATTCCAACATATGTTCATAATGAAATGATTCAATGGATAATATCATTAATATAAAAATCAATAAACTCAAAGATTCACATTTTCTGTTTAGATTTTGCTTCTGCTATTTTGGCTAATGTAATTCATACTCCTTACACTTTATAATATTTAGAGAAGCAATCAAGATTTGCTCATTAAGTATATATATATATATAAATTTAGGTTATGGAATAATTACTAAAATTTATCAAAGATTAAATATAAGTAAGTGTACTAATGCATATACTGATATGTTTATCATATTTGAGTAAGGAGAATTTTGGAAAATAGATGGAGGAATGTAGATTTGTTGAGAGAATAAGTGAATTTGTTGAATAATATAGTGTAATAAATACAGGTATTAGATTAGTAATATTATAAGAAAATGAGGCAGCAGAAATTGATAAAAAAACAGTTCTTGATTTATGTGCACATATGTTCCATCCAAAAGATAGTTCATTAGATAATTCAGAGACTTTAGAATTAAATGAATTGAAAACAGAGGATAGAATTAGAGAGTATGAGAATGAATAAGGAGAATTAATATTTGAATGTTTTTAGGATGAAGTAAGTTGATTATTAATCTCTATTTGAATAAAAAAATAGAATGTAAAGTTTACAAATATATATAATATGTAATGTTGGATGTTTATTTAATGAATATTATAAAATGTTAAATTCTTTTTAGGATTATATTAAATATAAAAATATTATATAACAACTAAAATATTTATTAATGTTTCTAGACTTAGTATTTAATTTTTGTTGTTCTAAACGGCAGAAGGATGATAAAGATACAAGATCTTAAAATAGTAATAAAAGTTAAGAGGGATAAATAATTGAGTAGAAAAGAATGGAGATAGAGTTTGTGAAAGGAGGTGTTAATTAATAATAAAGTAGGAAAATATTGAGTTTTATAAGAATCTTAAGGATAATCATCAATAGTATCACCAACTGACAATTATTTTGAATTGAATGATGATAAGAAATAAAAAAAGAGTAGTTTTGAGGATGATAATATAGAAGAGAATCAATTTAATGTTTTAGGTGAACAAAACATGAGATTGAATGTTAGAAATGAAAAGGATAATAATGTAAAAAAACGGTATATAGTAAAAAATAATAAAAAATAGTTGTAAATCTTAAGAGAAATAAGAGAAAGTGTTAAAAAAGAAAATAAGTAAAACAAAAGAAGGAGATAAGAGAGTAGTAAAAATATGGTAACCAGAAGAAGATTAGAGATTGAGAAAACTTTATTAAGAACATTAAGGAAATTGGAGCAAAATAATATAATATATGCCAGATCGTAATATATCATAATGTTCTTAAAGATGGAGAAGAATTAATCCAATATAAGTAAATTATTAATTATATTTTAGACTAAATAAAAATGGAATTAAGAAGAAGATACAAAATTAATATCTATGGTGTAACTTGAAGGCAAAAATTGGACTAAATTAGCGAGACATTTTCCAGGAAGAACAGGAAAATAAATAAGAGAGAGATATCTAAATAAATTAGATCCTAATCTTAATTTTGTTGCATGGACAGAATAAGAAGATTAGGAAATAGTCAAATATTATAATTAATATGGAGCAAAATGGAGTTTAGTTGCCAATCATCTTAAAGGTAGATCGGTATAATTTCTATTTTTATCTAGGAAAATATGGTTAAAAATAGATTCTATTCTCATATTCAAAAACATCTATTAGGTAGAATAAATAAATATTAAATTGTGTATAAACAAGCTAATCAATTATAACACAATTTATAACCTAATCTAAATATAGATGTTGAATATTCAGACACTTCTAATAGCGATATCAAACTAGTTCAATCTGAAAATTATTCAGTATTCTTTAAATCAAATATTTTTAGTCTTCTATTGGATCTAGCACATTTACTTTTTCTTATTATGACAATGATGATTTTAGTAATAATCAAGATGATTTAATTTATGATCATTAATTTGATCATGATTTCGATGAAAAGGTAAGACTTTATTGAATTTCTTATATTTTTTATTAAAAAGAATCATTATTTGATTTAGTTTATAATCATAATTCATTCTATCTCTTTTTATAAATAATAATCATTCATTTCAAATCTATTAGTTGCTTTCTCAATAAATAATAAATTAAAATATATATATCTTTTCAAATTAGTACAATTGTTTCAATTATTCAAAGTAATTCTATTTTATTTTTTCAATTATGGGACTAGAATAAACTTGATAAATTATTTATGGATAATAAGTTTAAATAGCATTTCAAATTTATGAAAATTATTTTTAGTTTTATTGCATATATATCATTAAACATTTATAGATAAATTTATTTTATAATCCAAGAGGAATTATAATGAACTAAAATTTGAGATTCAATATAATAATATACAAATCGATTGATAAGAATGAATTTACTGATAATTTATTAACAAAATCTAGTAATTGAAAATGAGAAATAATAAAAAGAGTCAGGATGTTAAAGAGAAATTAGAATCATAAATTATTGTATATTTTAAAAAACTATATTATATGTTTTATTTATACTTAAAAATTTAGTACTATTGATAGATTTATACTTGTATATTCCTAACAATTAAAATTGAAAATTGTAAAAATAGATTTATGAAGGTTAAGAACGTCAGTATGTAATAATTTTTGATTATATATTTTAGTAATATTATATAGAAATAATTGTATTTAAATGTTTAGTGATAATAAAGATCGATTAAAGAAAAAGTTAGGTAGAAATAAAAAGTTAAGTAAGATAGTTATATTGAGTAAATGTATTATAAATATATGATTAAAGTTCTTAATAAATAAATACACATAAAAGGTAAATCAATTATTAGAAGATGATGTTTAAGAAGATGAGGAATTAAAATCATAGGTTTTAGGTTTTTTTGTTTTTTTGATAATTTTTTTGGAATTTGCATTATTATTTTGTGAAATAGGCTTTTTATTTTTTGTCAAATATTGGTATTTTTATTTAGATTATTATTCTTCTAATTTAATGATTGTATTTGGAATATAGTTTGATTTAAATTAGTTTTAGATTGTTGGTTGTATTGTTTATTGAATATTATCTGATGATTAATATGATTGAGTTTTGTTAGAATCAAATTAATAAATATCTAATTATGCTGATAAAGAAGCACATTTTTCATAGAGTTTAGCTAAGACTTAATAATACTTAGTTTCACTAACGACTCTCATATTTTGTAAAATAAAATAATAAGTTTTTAATAGGTTTATGGAATATAAATTTTGATAAAATCCTTTTATTTATTGAATTAATAAAATAAGAAATAAAGAAGATAGAATTTGATAAAGTTAGTAATAAAATGAATGATGAATTTGTATTGAATATGATGATGATGTTTGAATATTATCAATATTATCAAGCTAACAATCCTTAAGTTATTTGATGCATTAATTTATCTTAATTTTTTTCATCAGGTACAAAACAAACCTTAGTTCCATTACTACCAGCTAATTGTTGTAATGTTTCTAAATATCTAACTTACATAGCAGTTTTAGAATCTAAGAATTCTGATGCTTATCTCATTAATTTAGCTGATTCTACATCTGCTTTAGCACTAATTAATTTTCCTTAAGCTAATCTTTATTCAGTAGCTGCTGAACCAAGTGCTTATTAAAGATCAGGTGATAATTAAATATCTTTCATATATATATTATCAATTAAAACACCCCTATAAAAATAATTATTATTCTATATACCAATCTTTTACATATTCATCTACTTAATCCTCAATTTAATCCGCAACTTCCTATCTTTTCTCTAGTAAATCTTAAAGTACAAACGATCCTACTGTGTTTTTTAAAACCGCATAAGTTATTTAACGAACTGCTTAATCATAGTTCTCTACTCTATATACTGCAAATCTAGATGTTTTGATTCTATAATAAACTGATGCATCTATAGAAATAGTTACATTATCTTTTGTCATTACAGACTATATAAATATTAACTATTTGATAATACTTATCTATCTAAATCAATAACTGTTATTCTTAAATCTAATTATTCTAATGTATCTGTACATGGATTAACATAATGTAATCCTGGTCTAACTACTTTTATATGTCTTCCAAATCTTTTGAACAATCCTTCAGTTCCTATATTATTATCTATCAAAATTATTAACCTTATTCCACTTCTTAATATGGATAGTTAACACACATACAAAATATACAAGGAATCCATGTCCTTAAACAACCAAAACATTCACCTAAACAATATTAGCATTTCGCATATGCAATCATTGTTTAGTTATCTTGGAATTCAGGAACTTCTAAATGAGCTATCTTTCTACGTGAATGAGCATTCATATTCGATTCAATTTAATATTATTATTATTATCAAAAAAACAATACTTAATTACTTTAGTTTTATTATTAGAGAAATATTCTTATCCTTATTAATCCTATTCTATTTTCACTTCTTCATATTCTTTTTTATACTAATTATAATCAACATTTATACTAAATCTAAATAAATTAAACTTCACATCTAAGTGAGGAAATATCCATGTCTGCTTGATATCATTAAATTTATTATACAAAATATTCAATTTTATATTGCCAAATCAACTTTTCACAAATGATAGTCATTCTAATTAATTTAAATGATCAAATAAATTACTTAAATACATTAAATATATAGATTAGTATAATAATATCAAGTTCTGAATAAAAAATACTAATTTATTTAATGCCAGATTAATATCAAAAAAATCAAGAATTAATTGAATATCAATAATACTAGGTAATAAAATTATAGATACTTCCTTATCACTATTCATATGGTTAAAACATTAAAACTACGTAATCATTATGAATCCTTTGTTTAAGTAGAGTTTTTTAAAGAAATAATTTAATTTTTGCATGTACCTGATGTTATGTTGTCTTTATTTTACAATTTAATATATTTAATATTAATTTATTATGGCCGCTTTTTATCATTAATTAATGAAACCAGCAGACTTGATGAGACATTAATGATATTTATCATGTGTATTAAAGTATGTGAAAGGATTTGTTATATAGAAATAATAAATTGATATTAGTTTGTGTAATAAGTCATGAATAATAACTAAAATAATCCAATAATTCTAGGAGTAGTAAATATTAATATTGATATTTAAATTATTAATGCATCGAATATAAGAATTGAAATAATAAATACTAAAATAAATCATATAATTCCACAAATAAATGCTGGAGATATAAGAGTATATAAAAATTTGATTGGAATAGATTGTTGAGGATTTTCAGGAATGTAGTTTAATATTTACAACAATTTGTTTCAATTAATTTAACAACAACATCATTATAAGAGTTGATGTTAATATTTTTATTTATATTTTTATATCCGACTTCAAATGCTTTAGAAATTGAATAATAAGAATGATTTAGTAACATGAACATTTCAAATTCATGTATTATAGTAGTATGTTCATTCTAATTGTAAGTTAAAATTTAATAATGATTGAATAAATACTAAAAGTTTAACAATCTATTTTTGTATTAATTAGTAAAAGATATCTAAATAAATCTCTTTTGTTAGTTAATTACTAAAAAAGCACTCCTATTTTAAAATGTAGAACAAAATTTAAATTACAAATTTGATAATACTAGATTTTCAGATATGAAAAGATTCATATAATGTTCTCACAATCAAATTTATTAATGAGTTTACATTATTCAATATATTGTGTTGAAGATAACATTTGTTACTGTTATGTTGTTATGGGATTTACTAAAACAATATAAGAAATGTTAATAAACACATACCTAAGTTTTATAAAGAATTAAATAAATAATTAAGGAGAATTAGTTACTTAATATAATTGAATAAAAGAAAAGAAAAAGAATAATTCTAATATTTAAATATTTAAATTATTATTTTCTTATATTTCTGATTATTTTAATTTAATTATTCTGGTATCCATTTTTATTAGATTCCCACCAATCAAATTATATCTTGATTAATGCCTTTAAAACTTGGTCTTTTACTATTATTATCACAAAATCTCACATGTTATCTGTAATTATATATGATTATCTTGTTTTACATCATCTTAGTTTTATATTTCAATTTTAAACTAACAATTATGATATATAATAGATATTTTTAATATATTCAACTTTGATGAAGTACAAAAAACATCTTCTAGAAAAATAGAATTAGTAATTCAATTAATTAAATCTTTATAAAACAATAAAAAAAACTCATGCACCAAAACCATAAAGTGTTCTTCCTTATCTTTTCAATGAATAAACTACATCCATTACTGTGACAGTTTTTCTTCTTGCATGTTCTGTGTATGTAATAGCATCTCTAACAACATTCTCCAAAAAGCTCTTTAATACATTTCTTGAGTCATCATAAAGGAAAGATGAAATTCTTTTCACTCCTCCTCTTCTTGCTAATCTTCTGATTGCTGGTTTAGTTATTCCTTCTATTGATGCTTTATTTGGTTTTCTTGCATGTCTCTTTGCACTAACTTTTCCTATTCCCTTTCCTGATTTTCCTGCCATTCTCTTTTTTATTTTATTTGAATCAAATTTATTAAAATTAAATTAGGAGGTTGTATATTGTAATTTTAAATCCAAATATTCATTAATCAACCAATCATAATTTTTATTTAAAAAAACTTAATTTATACATCTCTTTTTCAAATTTATCATTTAAATATTTTCCATCTAATTCCATATGATTAATGTTAGCTAAAACAGTAAGGACAATTTCAAAGCTCGAATATTTGATGTTTACAAGTATTTATATCCGATTGCCGAAATTGGAATTAAAAGTACTAATGACATAATAAGTTTAATTAAATCGAAATCTTGCATAAATTATCACTTAACGGAAATGTATATTTAATAAGATTAAGAGATTTATATTTAACGCAAGAAGGAACCAGATTATTAGTAAAATAAGATTTAGTTCACAATAGTTTCTACATATCCATTAAATATTGTTCGAATATTTTCATATTGTAAACAATCTCTACTGGTTTGGTAGGTATGGTTCTCAAAGAGATTTTCACTTAATTAGAATAATTGTTTTCTAGTTATTAAAATTAAATACCTTATTAATCGGTAATATTTTTATGTGATTATTTCTCTTATTTATATTCTAATTGATCCATAATTGTAGCTAATTTCTAAACTAAAGAGTTTGTATTCACTTTGTTGATTTAATTCTTATAGAAAGTTCAAGTAATTGTTAATTACATTCTCGAAGTTTTAAAATATTAATAAATATCTTTCTTAATTAATTATCTTCAGACTATATTGTAGAAGTTGTAAATTCTTTAACTCTTAATTGTTATAGTATATTTATTGAACAATTTTACATCTTCATATATTTATTACCACTACTAATCCACTCAAGAATTTATGTATTGAATATATTATAACATTTAATTTTGAAACTAAATTAGCAACTATAAAATTAGAATTTCATTAAAATACTTTTAGAGTAAAAGAAGATTTATTTATTTAATTTAATGATTGAGATCATTCCTATTATTTATTCTTTAACAATGTATAATTTAATAAATTGTTTATATCTAAAATAATTAATACCTCCTCTTAGAATTTTATAAATAAACATTCATAATAATAATAAAATGTTAAATCATACTCAATAATATATTTCCAAATGAGAGATATCTTAATTTCAATTGATTTAAGATAAATTTAGAATAATTATAAATATTTTGATATTAATTTATAGACTTCTTAAGTATGATAAAATATTTGATTTGGAAAAAATAAAAAGAGAAAAGTAAAATATATTAAAAAAAGTTTATTATTTATTATTTGTCACACAATTTAAATTATTTAAAATATTTTATTAATAATGTCCGATAACACACTAAAAAATTGGATGGAATAATTAAATGATCTTTTAGAAGTTCTATGTTAAAAAGTATAAGATTGTTTTGATGAAAGTGTTTATTGTTAACATAAAGCATAAGAAAGTATAATTAAAGATTGGAATAAATATTTGCCATAAAATTAACTCTCTTTTGATAATCAAGATGTTTTTCTAATGAAACACACAAATGAAAAATTTACATTAAGATAATTTGTTTTTTAGAGAAGATATGAAGAATAAATATATGAAGTTAAATTATTTGATAGTATCTCGGAAGCAGAAATACCATAAGGATAATATCAAAATTAAATTTTTGAATTCTTTATGATTGAAAATAATGCACTTCTTTTAAGTAACAATATTCATATGATCAATAGTAAAATAATCAAATAAAGCAAATACAAATAGATCTGAATAATAACCTACTATGATAATAAAAGAAGTTTATACAGGATTTATATAAGAAAATTAATTATGGCTTTCTTTGATAAAAAATATTGGTCTATGTTAATAAGCAGCATTTCATCCACTGAATCCTAATTACTTAGTGATTTTATAAACATCTTAAGATTAGAATAGATAACATACCTTTCAAAAGTATAATTGTCATAAAGAATAATATTTAATGGTATATTCGATTAAGAACCCTCGACAACCAATTGTTAGAATTAATTTGAATTAAGCTATGAATGGAAATGCTTTAGCCTTTTCTTTTTCTTAAGTTGAAGATCAAAATTAATTCCTAATATACTTTATAAATAATTAAGGAATCATTTATTATTATGAATTAATTCTTCATGATATGGTTTTTAAATTGTAAACTAAAATGTATTTACAAACATCAAAATAAGAATTAATTTAATTTGTCAAAGAAAGACCTGATAAAGATTTTAAAATTAACTATGATATCACTAGTTAAGATGATTATCAAAAGGGATGTATCAAATTTAAATCATTTTAAAATTCCAATTACTAATTTCCTAAAAGTACTTACATTTTATTTTAGAAAATGTCTATTATTGATTATCATTTATTCTTTATCATTTCTAAACAGTTAAATGAAAATCTTTTTGTTCAAGTACTTATTGGAAAAGATTTATAAATACTCTTTGAAATATTTTAAGATGAAGTTCAATTTCAAAAATAGATTGATAATAATGACTACATAATATCAAATCTAAATAAGAATTAATAACCGAAAATTATATATTAAAGTGATAATGTAACTCATATAGTTCAAAATTAATTAGATTTTCCAAACAGAAATCAACTCCTTATACTATATCATAATTCATTAATATCTATTGATTATTCTAATGTAATTCAATTTAAATAAGATTAATCTCCTATAAATGTTACTTGTATTGATCTAATACCATTTGCAAATAAATATTAAGATTAATCTAATTCAGAACCACTCATTCTTTAAGTATTATGTTTGGATCTTTATAAATCTAAATAATTACTTCTTAGAATCACAAATAGAACTTAAAAATAAACTTTTAAACTTTTGCCTCAAAAATTGTTATTAAGTTTAACAGAATAAAATTTAGAAGCCAATAAATTTGCCTTAGATTTTTATAACGAATAGAATACTTATCTGATGAATAAAAAAGCATTATAAAAATTTAAAAAATATCTTGAATATATTAATTAATAGAAATTACCACATTGTAAAACTGAAGAAGAAATAATTACTATCAATGAAGAACTAGCAAATAATTTTCATTAATCAATTAAAGGAGTTGCAATCAAAATTAAATTAGAAACTGAGAATGTAATAATAATTATTTAATTATTCTAGATGTAAAATGATATTGAAATTAAAATGAAAGGAAACTTAACACAATAGGAGATAAGAAATATTTAATTATAAAGTAGAATTTCTGAGAAAAATGAAAAAATACATTCCCTATTAGATTAGTTGCAATCGATATCAGCATCTGTTATTAGGCAATAATTGATAAATTCACAAAAACAATAAGATTTAGATTAATTTAAAATTCAATATGATAATATTCAAGAGTAAATAAAATAAAATAAATAATAACTTGAAGAATAAATCTAATTAAGTAATCGAACAAAGTAAGATATCGAAGTTATTTAATCAAATCTAATTTAGAAAATATAATAAAAAAAAGAATGATTTTGAGATGTTAGTTGTTTTGATTAATTCATAAATATTTCAACATATAAATTTATGTGAAACAATTTCTCATGATATTAAAATTCAATTATATATATGTATAAATGGATTTCGATTACTTATTTAAGATAAATGTTATTAAGAATTATAAAACAATCAAACAGTATTTTCCCTATCTTTAAATAAAAATTACTTCTGAATAAGTTATTCTCAGGTTCTTTTTTTTGAAATTTCTAATGAATAAAAAAAATATAATAAAATTTTAAGAGCTTTTTTAAAAATATATTCTTCTCTATAGATTTTAATATTTAAAAATTGGTTTAAATTTGATTCTTATTTTCGGGGTGTTAAAATAAAGATGATGGTAGAAAAACACTAGAAATTATTATATTGTATATATGTTTAAATAAAATTAAATAATTCATCATCTAGTAATTTATTTATGCAAACTAGAAATTGGGAAAGCAAGAAACTACTATTAGAAAATCTAAATCGAAAAAAGGAATTAAGTAAATGGATTATAAAGTATATTTATAAGATAAACAAAAAAGTGTCCAGTAGGTATCGGAAACTAATCGAAATTTTTTCTCTAATTTTTCAACCTTCTATGAACAATATCAAGATAAGCAAATTCCATCTATAGAGTATTAAGCTTATATATTTAGATTTTTATAAGAATAATTCCATATACAAGAACTTTTTACAAATCAATAAATATATGAGTTGTAAGAAGAATTGTCAAAATAATGGATTATAAGAGTAAAAAAAAATTGGACTGATGAAGATAAATAAATATTAATATGGATTGTATTGAAAATCTGTTCAAGAGATGGAATTCATATTAGAAAAATTGTATAACATTTGTTTATGAGCATAGCCAACTTAAGTATGGGAAGAAGTAGTACAATTAATAAGTAGAAGGACTGTTGAGTAATGTAAGAATAAATGGAATGATCTATTGAAGTTATCTTTGTAACAAATACCTTGGACATAAGAATAAGATGAATATTTAATATAATTGATTAAGTAAAACAATTATAATCTTTTAGTTAAAGCAAAGAGGAAGGAATGTAAAATAAATGGTGTAATTTAGCAAACTTGTTAAATTTGTAATTCAAAGATTCTCCAAGAACAGGAAAATAATGTAGAGAAAGATGGAATAATCATCTTAATCCTGATATCAATAGACATCCCTGGAGTATTGAAGAAGATATTGAATTATTAGAATTAGTTAAAAAAAAACAAAAGAAATGGGCATTCATATCTAAAATTTTAAAATCAAAAAGAAGTGAAAATGCTGTCAAGAATCGTTATAATTGCTTATTGAAAAAAAATAACTGTTCATAAATTAATACTTTAATTGATATTTTGAAAAAAAGATATTAATCTGAAAATCCATCTCTCCCTTTGTAAACACTTAAGAGAAATAAAATTATTCATGCCAATTAAAGTACAAATTTTAATTTAATTTTAATTAAGCTTTAACACCATAAACACAAAAAGTTATTAAAACTAATGAGTATACCATCTAATCATTTGATTTAGCTGATGGAAATTAACTTAAATAACTAGTTCCTGCTTTTTATGATTCTAAAACTTAAACTTTATTTATAAGCAATAAAAATCAACTCATCTCTTTTTTAAGTAATCAAATGATTAAAATTGAAAGTGAATGCAATATATAAAATTTTGATCAAAACAATTAATAACATGAATTCTCTAATCAAATGAGTGGGTTATTAAATTTGGTAGATTCAACAAACTTTGCTAAATATGTACCTGGTGTTTTTGCAAACTAATAGCAACCTAATTAATAAGAAAAAAAGTATTTTTAATATTTAATTTAATTCAAGATCATAATTCAATATTCCAGGTGTACAAATAGAATAAGCTAATTCAGAAAAACTAATTGAAAATAAACTTCGTAGCACTTTCTCATTTTTTTCTTCAAAATTAAATGATACTCTATTAAATTCCAAAGCTAGAAGTTCTATTGAGTAAGAAGATAATAATCATTCAAAAATAAGCAGTTTTAAATGAATCATTTTATTCATTTTTTTAAATATTGATTAATGATTAATATTTTAATCAGTAAAAATTAAAATTTTTAACTCATAAGGTTTCCTTTGTATTGCTGAACTATTGCTCAGTTAGAATAGTTGACTCTTATATGTCTTCTATTATATCTGGAAAAATAAACAACTTTGGTTTTGGTCTATACCCTTTTTATGCTTCACATTAGGCTTAAAAATATTAAAATTTCTTACAGTAATTTTTGCAATCCATATTATTATTATAGCCGTATTTAGTTTATTGTTCCTTTGGATTCAAAAGTGATTATTATAGCATTTAAGATCCAAAGCTATTTTGACCAAATGTAAAATGGCTTTATTAAGATGAAAAACTTATAGATTCTAATGAGATATTAATTTTTAACTAATTTTAATGAAAGAATGTTTGTTAATCTTGAGATTCATATGGCTATTACAATTACTATTCCATCATAAATTAAGGAATATGTTGTTTTACAAAATAGTTTTAGGTATCAAAATTCTGATTATGAAATGTTGGAGTTGAAATTGGCGGATGTTATTTTTATTAAGTAATATTGATATAATTAGTAGTTTATTGTGGAAACACTAATTACATCTATTTAATGGTTGAATTATGTTATCTGGGATATCTGTTTTTATTTTTTAATTCAATAAGTTTTTTAAGTAGAATTAACCTAATAGGTTCTTTGTTGTTTTTTTCTAAAGATTGGAAGTGTTTTCTCAAGGATGCAATAATTTAACTTGTCTCTTCATATTCTTTATCTTTTGATTCTTTTTCAGGAGTTTGAGTTGAAGAAAAAATACTTCTTAAAATATACTTTAACTTTTGAAATAAGTTCATAAATTTTAAATAATAACAAAATTTGATGTGTTTTTGTTTTAAATTAGAATAATAATAATAATAATAATTGTAATGATTGTTAAATATATTTAAGAAGGGAAAGAATAATATTAGTTCTTTAACTTTAATTTTGAAAACAAATATAAATTAGATAGTTCCTACTAATATTGAGTTGATAATGAATAATTATCTATACAAGTATAAAGTGATAGTGATATATATGATAATCAAAGATAAGATTTGTAGTTGATAATTTAATTTATATTATTCGTTATGATGTTAGAATATGATATTGTTTAATAAAAACCTAATTAAAAGAATTCGAAGTTTCAATGATGAACTCGGTTAGATAGAGAGAGAATAGAAAACTTTCACAAAGTCAAAAGAGTTAGAACTATAATCTTGCTAAAAGAGCTTCATCATAATTTAAGTAATAATATAAAGATAATGAAGAATCCATCATTTACCAAGTATATCTAGTAATTCTACATGCTGCAGTAATTCATGTACATCAAGTCCTCCTTAAAGTTGTTCTAAATTAGATGAAGATAATATAGAGAGTATAATAAATAAAGAGAAATAGGTGTATTAGTTTGTAAAAATACATCATAAGATCCATTGAGTTACTTCAATTATGATGATTTTAATGGAGTATTGCCAGTAACAATAAATGGAATAAAAATTCTGAAAATAGATTGGAGTTATTTTACAGCATCTCCAAATATGTAATCTCCATGGAAGGCTCATTGTTTTTGGACAGTTGGATATACATTTGATATTAATATGAGGAAGATGAAAAGATCATAGAATATTAAATATCGTCTAAATATTTAAAGTTGGTGTTGCTTAAATAATAAATCTTGGGTTAAATAAAAATGGGATAGATTATTAGAACATGAAACAGGACATTATCTAATTGGGTGTTTATGTGCTTTAGATTTTAAATATAAGTAAAAAAAATAAATAAATTTTTAAATTAGAGCAGACAAATTCAAATACACTAAGAATTATCGAATCGAATGCACTAAAATATTCTAAGATACATTTTAGTTTTATTTGCAAATGGAAAAACAATATGATGAAGAAACAAATCATAGTCAAAATGTACCAAAATAAAAAGAATGGAATCTATTCATTAAATAAGAACTTCTAAAGTATTGACATAATAATGTTTCTCATTTATATTATATTATTAAACTCCTTAATCAATAATCATTTATTATATAAGTAAGATAATAGTTAGTTATATCAATTAAATATTTGATGAATTATGTTAAGTAAATTTTGAATCAAATAAATTAACTAAAATAATAATAAATTAAGTAATTTTATGTTCAAAGAGATAAAATAAGAATTGGCGTAAAAATATAAGTAATTAGAATTAGATCAAATTGAAATAATGCAAAAACTATAAGCTTATAAAGAGTCTGCATAAAATAAATAATATTTTGATAACAATTCATTATTGATTGATGATATACAAAATTCATCAGTTCTTTTACTTTCTAATACATAAAGAGATATAGCAGATAGAACAATCTTTGAATTAAAAAAAGCATTAGAAGAATGTGAAAGGGATAGAGAGAATAAAATTGAATAAATTAACGAATTAAAAAAATAAAATTAAAAATTATACGAGGAGTTAAATGTTACAAAAAGTATAGTTATAAAATCAAATAAATTACTTAATGAGATTGCTTCTTAAAAAGAAGAATTGTTAAATTAAATAAATATGATGAAAAAGCATAAATCGGTAGATTCATCCTTTTATTAAACCTCGATTACTGATATAACAAATTAAGATATATCAATATAAATGAATAGAAAAAAATCAATGTCTTAATATGAAAGTAATGATTAAAAATAATTGAAACAATATAAAAAATTTACAGATTGTGTTAAGGATATGATAATAAAGTTATAACCAAAATTATATGAAAGTAAAGAAATATATATAATTATTTTTTAGATTAGAATGTATCATTGTAAGATGCTTGGAAATGGTTGAAAATAATTATAAATGATTACGTTTAGATAGCAAATACTATAAAATAGTTAAAATAGATTCTAAATGTAGAATAACCTTACATAGTTTTGGAGGTTCAATAATTAATTAACATGATTGTTTATAAATAATGATTCATAATCACAAATAAAATAATTATAATTCTATTTCTATTGAAATCAAATGAATTAATTTAAATAATAAAAAATTCAAAAATGGATAATAAGAAAAAAAAGAATAAGAATAAAGCAAAATAACAACCATAATAATAATAATAATAATCGACATAAAATTAATTAGTACCTTCAAATTAATAACATCATCATGATCATCATGGAAATGAAGATCATAATCATGATCATGGTCAATGTGGTCATGGATTACCAAGTGATCTTCCTAATCTTGATCCTACTAGTTTATTAAGTGGTTTAAGTAAAGGAGAAGGATTACTTGGTAGTTTAAGTATGATTCCTAAATTGACTGAAATGTTAAATCAATTAAGTAATTTTGGAGGTTAAGCTTTCAAACCTGATGATCCATTACCTGATTTTACTAAATTTGATTAAACTAAAGTATATACAATTCTTATAAATAGTAAACTTTAGAAGTAGCAATCGAAGAATTCTAATAAACTATTGAAAGTGTTCAAAAAAAAGATTTTACTAATCTTACAAAACCAGTTGTATAAAAACAACAATAATAAAAGTTATCCAAATAATAATAATAATAAAGAGAGAAGTATTATCTCATTCTATCATTTATAGAAATAATTAAATTATTAAATAAAACATAGAATATTTAATTACATTATAGAAAGATATGAAAAAGCTCTTATAAGATGTAATCTAACATTATCTATATTAGTAATCTCTTAGTGGAATTGCTCCAATATTAAATCAAGGAATTGAAAACCTAAATTAAGATATCTAATATTATTAAAAGTAATAAGAACTATGAGTATCTAATATATTAATTATTCAATTAAAATAAACCATTAATTAATTGAATTTCTCAATCTCATCTATTGAATATTTATCTATTTCTATTTAAATTTTATCAACAATATTTAAATCAAAAGATCCAAAAATACCTAGAGTTTTAATTAATATCCTTAATCACAAAGTATTACATAAAATATATCATAAATTTAATTATTCTTAAAATTTAATGAATTAAATACTCAATTACGCACTATTAAATTTTTACACTGAACTATTTTAGAAAACATTATATTATAAATAAAATGTATTGTAAAATGTATTGTAAAAAGTATTTTTGGATAATAACTTGTTTGATAAATTGAATGTAGGGTTTATTCATTTATGTAATTCTTTAAAATACCAGTTTTAACTAAAAGAAGTGAGGAGCAATTATCAGTATTAATAAAAATATAATATATTCCTTGAATCAGAAATGTTTTAATAAGAATATATGAATAGAATCTTTTAAACCTAGCTAGCCAATTAAACTTTTTTAATCTGTCTTTAAAATTAACCCTAATTGTTTTAATACAGTATTATTTAACATAGACATATTAATAGTACCTTAAATTTATTATGGAGACATTGCTTAATTAAATACAGGGATATCGTATATCTAATAATGTAGCAATTACAATGGAACAAACATAAACGAATAATAATATTAGAATAATTTACAATAAGCTTAAGTCTTGGAATAGCCTTTATATATAAAAAATGAAACAGAAAGGGAAATAAGTGAAAATAAATTGAATTCTATTGAAAACCCTTAAATATATTCTTTAGGTCATTGGAGTAAAGAAGAACATGAATTGTATCTTGAATTCATTGATACTCATTATGATATATTGAAGTCAAAATATGATAAAAAATCTAAAAAGATTTTTAAAATGATGAGTTAATACATATCGTCAAGAAATCCTACGTAATGTAGATCTCATCATCAAAAATTTAATCCACTACAATAAAATAAGAGAAAGAAAAAGTTTAAGGTGGAAAAATATTGATAAAATATAAATATTAATATTGATGTCTATTATAATTTTAATGATTTTTTTTATCAATTAAAGTCAATAAATATGTCATTTAGAATAAAGCAACTATTAATGATTTATTATTGATATAATTTTATTTAGATTGAAATAAATGGTAAATTGCCGCCTAAAATCATAATGAATCCATTTTACTGTAATAATGATTTTAGATCTATGAACCAATAATGATTAGAGGAGATAAACAAAAGATTTAGATGCTATGAGAAAATATTAAAAAAAGTTAGAATTAACAGAAATTAAATGATTTTTAGTACAGGCATTTTATACGTTAATTAGTTTAAGTAATAAGAATGCGAAAAAGTAATAAAAATAATTAAGAATAGCAAGAGTTAACAACTGTTGATAAATGATAATTAGAGGATTAAAAAATACTATATAATTCTAATTAAGCCTTAAATAAACCATAGTATCCAAAGTGTAGAGTTAAAAAAAGCCAATTTTAAAAATTTTAGTAAATTTTGAACTGAAAACAAAAGAACGATAATTTTGATATTTAACATTAGAAGAATGATAAACTACATTCATTTAAATAGATAGAATAGAATTACTCTGCAAATCAATCTAATAGTAAATGATGAGAATAACTTATTGTTTTATGTAGGAGAGATATATAGATTGCAATATTGAATCAACAATAACAAAATTCAAAATTGTTTAGAGAACATTTTAAGCTTCTTTCAAATATATATCTAGAATTCAGATATTTGAAATTGAGAAATGATAATTGATAATTGAAAGAGATTTGATATAGAAATGTAAAGAGTAATTTTGAAGATGGATGAGTGATTATTCTTACAACTTTTTAAGATATTTGTACTAATGAAGTATTTAGTAATGTATTATTTAGGTTATTAATATTTTGGATTGAAATAAAAAATTAAGTTATAGATTTTTTTAGAAAGAATTGTATATTAGTGATAGATAATAATTTAATGAAACATCTTGTAGTTTTGAATATTAAATCTAAGTAATGTAATAGTGATTGTCAATTGTTCAAATAGTTTTGGGTAATAATAAATTTAAATATAAAGTTAGAGAATGGGATTTGAAATTAATCAAATTACAAAGATGGAAAGAATAATCTATGAATGTAGGACATGTTTGATTTTTAATTTAATGATATTTAAAATGGGATAAATTAATATTAATATGAGAATGTGGAAGATGCAGTATAAAATTTGTATTTTTGAAAGTATTCTTATTTGTTTAACACATTTTTTTTAATGTGAAAAAATGCTTTAATTTAATACATATATCAGATTAAATGCAAGCTGAAAATGACCATCAATAAGAGAGTTCGAATAACATGAATAATCATCGTTAAAAATCTTCATATGTATGAAGAATTCTAAATATCATATCAGTTAATAAGATAGAGACGAAAAATTTATGATGACAATGACTTTAGGGAGGTTGTCAAAAATTTTTACAATTTAGTCTCGGAGATGAATAGAGGTTAATAATCCGTTTAGGCATTATTAGTAAAGAAAATAGGAAAAGCTCCTATACGTAAATAGCCTCAATAATTGAAATAAAGAAATACAAACAAAAATAAGTAAGCAACAAAAGAACTTCCTTATTGTAAAAGAGAGATGCATTATGGGCCTGATTAATAGGCTAAATAATACTTTAATTCTTGTTTCAGTCATTAAATAATGAGTCATTTATTACCAAATTTTGATCAACCATCTGGAAAATAAGCAGCTTTCTTTAATGATAAACCTGCACCTCATCTCTAATTTAAACGAAATCAAATTCACATTTAAACAGCTTATTAAATATATATAAAGAAGTTTGATTCTAGTTAAGTTGAGAATTAGGATCCCACATCAATAGCTAGAAAAGTTATGAATTCCAACTTTAATTCCAAAGTAAAAATTCATTAAAGAACCAGACCCAATACTAAGAAGAGGAGAAAGAGAGTGATAGATCAGATAAATTAAATAAGTCTTATGAAGATGGCAAAAATAAGCCTTTAAAAGAATTAGTTCGAGAATTTTAGAGTGATTAATGATTTTAAAATAAAACATCCAAAAAAAAGGAGTATTATAAAAATAAAATAAAAATCTTTATTGTAGATTATTCATTAAATCATTTGAGATTCTTTAATTAAAGAGTGAATTTGAATCTATGAAGAAATTTAATTATATTTAGACTTTGTAAAAACATATTCTTCAAATGTTGATTAAATTCAAATTTAAGTATAAAGAATAGAGTTAACTATTTTATTAAAAAAAAGTAGTATTATTAAATAATTCTTTTTTTTTGTAGAGAGATTGTATAATTGATAATTAATTGTAAAAAATAAAAGGACAAAAAGATAATGAATTGTAATTGAAAATTTGTAATATTATATAAGAATACAAACTAGTAGGAAAAAAAGGTGAAGGAACATTTTCAGAAGTGATAAAATCGCAATCATTTAAAACAGGAAATTATGTAGCTATAAAGTGTATGAAAAATAAATTCACATCAATTGAATAAGTAATGGATTAAATGAAGATTAAAAGGTCAATCATTTAAGAGAGATTTAAGCTTTAAGAAAATTGAGTCCTCATGAACACATAATAAAGTTGATAGAAGTATTATAGTAATTGAATAAAATAAAAATAATGGTAGTGATGAACCAACAGGGAGATTAGCATTAGTATTTGAATTAATGGAATAGAATCTATATGAACATATAAAAGGTTAAAAAGATATTGATTATAAATAGGTAGAAGATAACCGTTGTAACCATAGAAAGTTAAATCCTTTATGTATTAACTGTTAAAATCGATTGAGCATATGCATCGAAATGGTATATTTCATCGAGATATAAAACCGTAAGTATTTATATTATAGATAGTGAAAACATTTTGTTGAATTCAGATCATTTGAAACTTGCAGATTTTGGATCATGTAAAGGTGTATATTCTAAACATCCATATACAGAGTATAATAATTATATAATGATGATATTAGATATATATCAACAAGATGGTATAGAGCACCAGAATGTTTATTGACAGATGGATATTATGATTAAAAAATGGATTTATGGGGTGTTGGATGTGTTATGTTTGAAATCATAGCACTATTTCCTCTATTTCCAGGAACCAATGAATTAGATTAAGTCAATAAGATTCATAATATTTTGGGAACTCCTAATCCAAAAGTATTTGATAGATTTAGAAAGTAAAGCAATTCAATCATAAAATAATAAGATAAGCTACTCATATGGAAATTAATTTTCCTATTAAACATGGTAGTGGAATCGAAAGACTTTTACAAGGATAAACAAAGGAATGTATAGAACTAATTAAAATGTTATTGGTGTATGATCCTGAAGAAAGAATTACAGCATAATCAGCATTGAAACATGAATATTTTAAAGAACTCTATGAAGCAGATACCACTTAAAAGAGTTTTTAACATACTTTATAATAGATAAGAATATCTAATCATAGAGAATAGTAATATCACTTTTAGATCTTATATAGAAACGATAATTCACTAGAAAGGAGTTAAAGAATTGAAGAAAATAAATAGCATTAACCTAATTTTAAAAAGACATAAAATTATTATGCTAAATCATAAAAGAAATCTGGAGTATTATATATTGTAATATAGTTACCATCATTACAATTTGATCTCAAAGTAGAAAGTATATATAAGAATACTTAACATCATGATAGTGATGATGATTTAGATAAGTAATCATCAAATAAATAAATGATGTTACCTGAAATTAAAAAGAAAAAGAAATATGATCCTAAAGTTATCTATGGTAAATAATAATACCAATCAAATTAAGCATATTAGTTTAATTAAAAAAGTATCTCTATTCTTAATTTAATATAGCTGGTAAAAAAATGACACATGGATTATAAGCAGATTATATTGTTTATGGAAAGAAAGCTATGAATTGATAAACTTTAGGTTGAATAATTTAATTTTCGAATTTTATGATTCATCATTATATTAATATTCCTTTATGGATCATTATTATATTAACATAGTTTTTTAATTCATCATCATTTTTTAATTTTAATATAAAAATGAAGATATTAGTGATAACATGTTTAATAGTTCTAACTTTAGCTACTCCTTTAGATAAAATCTAAAAGATTAATGTACCTTGCATTGAAGAAATAGGTTACTTAACTAAAGATTTATTTGTATTTGGTTTAGACATTGCAAGACATAAATTCTTTAGAGAAGTCAAAGATGTTGTTGTCATCATTATGGAAATTGTTAAATTAAAAAAGGCATGTTAATCATCTGATAATTAAGCTATCTTAGAATAACATAATCAAACTTTAACATGTTTACAAAATACTCTTGATATTGCTGAAGATGCTTATAATGCATATAATACTTTTACTTAAAATGGATTCACTGATGATTTCATTGATTAGACTACCCATATCTAATAATAACTTGTATCCACTCTAAGTAGATGTAACTCAAAAACTAAATTACTCGAAGACATCTTCCCTACTCATTGTATAACTGTCATGAATGATATGGCCAGAGATGCTCTATCTATTAAACAATAAAGACATCAACCTTTGAAAATTATTGAAGGATTGATCTCTATGGGAGATAATTATCAAGTTGCCAAATAACATTGCCCATTTATGAATTGAACATTATCAATATAAATACATAAAATCAATTATTTACTTTCTATTCTAATATATCAAATACTTCTATTCATTTACATTAATCTATTATAAATATTATTTATCTTTCTAAGTAATAATAAATAATTTATAATCTTAATAATAAGGATATTTCAAATAATAAAATTTATATTAACATAATATCTATCATGTTTCTTCCAATAAAATTCTATATGGTCTAATATCTTTTGAATCATTCACAACAAAATAATTAATCTTTTTCATTCTTTCACTCTATCGAATCGCCTCTGGCCTAACTCTAGACATAAAATAAACACTTATATTTTTATTATCAACTTTTACTGGTGTAGCATACTTTCGACAGACTTCTATTTTATCTGAAAAATAAATTCCAACTCCAATCTTTTATCCTGTTAACAGGCATTAATCATTTTAGTAAAATTATTGAGTTCCAGCTCTTAAACCACCTATAGTAATATCAACAATAAACTCTTATTTAGTTCCATGAAAAAGTATTCTCCATTCTCCTGGATTTCCATCCATTTTTAACCAATTATCATTCTCATATTTATTAGCTACCTATAATCCATATCCAACACAGGTCTTTGGAAAATAATAAGTATATTTCTTCTATAATGGACCTCTTTAGGATGATTCTTAAAAATTTTTCCAAGTCATATTATATTTTGGATTAAAGTCGTCTTTCGAAAGTCCAATATATTTTTTGTCATTTGGCTACAAATTTTTATTTTTTTTATCAATTGCTTATTAAAAATATTTATAATGCTCTAAGGTACCATTAAAAGTAGTCTAAAGGAATTGCTATTCCTCAGGATTTAAATTTTCTTTGCCTTCTATCTTAAAATCAATTGATTGAGAATTTTCCTCAAAACCTCCTAAAATTTCTACTCTTTTTGCATCAATCTTAAAATTATTAGATATTTTTTCTTTAAAATCTTCCAAATACATTTCCTTACTAAAATTTGGTTGTTTACTAACTTTTATATATTAAACCATGTTAAGAGTAAATCGAAAACAAGATTAATCTATATTTTGTCCAGTAAAAAGTGATTCCAATCCACCAACAACAGACTTAGATGTACTAACTACTTCAACAGTTTCTGAAAAAGATTCTTTTAAAACAAACAATGCTAAATCTACATTTAATTTAACGTTTGCTTCTTAATTTTAAGTAACATCCTTTATTTCCAGATCGGTAACAGTAGGTTTTTTGATTTTGACTGCTTAATCTGTATCCAACAATACTTTAATTAGCTTTTAAGAATTTTTAGCAAATTAATATCGTTAGTTATTATATGATATTTTTTAATCTAATTAAATTGTTTAAATTATTTGTACCAATACTGTTATTTATTTTTGCATATTTTATTATTATCTTTCGATTTCTTATTATTTTTTAATTCTCTCTTCCTCTTCTTCCTTTATTTTTCTTTCTTATTCTTTTATTTTTCTTTATCTTTCCTCTTCTTATTCTTTTATTTTTCTTTATCTTTCCTCTTCTTCTTCCTTTATTTTTCTTTATCTTTCCTCTTCTTCTTCCTTTATTTTTCTTTATCTTTCCTCTTCTTCTTACTTTATTTTTCTTTCTTATTCCTTTATTTTTCTTTATCTTTCCTCTTCTTCTTACTTTATTTTTCTTTCTTATTCCTTTATTTTTCTTTATCTTTCCTCTTCTTCTTACTTTATTTTTCTTTCTTATTCTTTTATTTTTCTTTATCTTTCCTCCTCTTCTTACTTTATTTTTCTTTCTTATTCCTTTATTTTTCTTTATCTTTCCTCTTCTTCTTACTTTATTTTTCTTTCTTATTCTTTTATTTTTCTTTATCTTTCCTCCTCTTCTTACTTTATTTTTCTTTCTTATTCCTTTATTTTTCTTTATCTTTCCTCTTCTTCTTACTTTATTTTTCTTTCTTATTCTTTTATTTTTCTTTATCTTTCCTCCTCTTCTTACTTTATTTTTCTTTCTTATTCCTTTATTTTTCTTTATCTTTCCTCTTCTTCTTACTTTATTTTTCTTTCTTATTCTTTTATTTTTCTTTATCTTTCCTCCTCTTCTTACTTTATTTTTCTTTCTTATTCCTTTATTTTTCTTTATCTTTCCTCTTCTTCTTACTTTATTTTTCTTTCTTATTCTTTTATTTTTCTTTATCTTTCCTCCTCTTCTTACTTTATTTTTCTTTCTTATTCCTTTATTTTTCTTTATCTTTCCTCTTCTTCTTACTTTATTTTTCTTTCTTATTCTTTTATTTTTCTTTATCTTTCCTCCTCTTCTTACTTTATTTTTCTTTCTTATTCCTTTATTTTTCTTTATCTTTCCTCTTCTTCTTACTTTATTTTTCTTTCTTATTCTTTTATTTTTCTTTATCTTTCCTCCTCTTCTTACTTTATTTTTCTTTCTTATTCCTTTATTTTTCTTTATCTTTCCTCCTCTTCTTACTTTATTTTTCTTTGTCGTTCTTCTTCTTATTCCTTTATTTTTCTTTATCTTTCCTCTTCTTCTTACTTTATTTTTCTTTTTCTTTCTTCTTCTTCTTCTTTTATTTTTCTTTATCTTTCCTCTTCTTATTCTTTTATTTTTCTTTTTCGTTCTTCTTCTTCCTATTTTATTTTTCTTTATTCATCTCTACTTTTTGTTAGTGCTTATTCTAATATTCTTTTTTCTTCTTAAAAATTAATTTTTGCTGTTTATTTAATAAATTAATTTCTTTAATTATTTATATAATCTATTTCTTATTAAGTTAACTATTTTTCTAATGAATGTAAATATTAAATTCTTTGAGTAAGCATCTTTGATATAAAACTCTAATATTCTTAATTAATTTTAAACTTATCTTATAAAATCTATTTTAAAGCTACTTTAATTAGAAAAGCAATAAAAACCAAAATAATAAACAATCCTTTTATTTCAAAATAATTAATTTTATAAAGGTGAAAAAAATCCGAAAAACTTGCTAATATAAAACTATTTGCAACTAAAAGACAAAGTTAAAACACAATCCCTAATTTATTTTATTTACCATTCTATACAATTATTTAAATAATTTGCACGAAAATTATTAAATGCACAAAAATTGTAAATTCAAATTCCTTTTTTAAATTATAATAAATACCTTTTAATTGATATTCGGATAATGGAGATTCAAATATAAGGGTAGAGATAATTTAATAAATAAATAAATTATAAATTAAATTACAACAGTACATATAACACCAGATATAACTTTTTAGTCTTATAAGTTTAATGTATCGGATTCATTTTCACCTTCGTATTAATTTTAAGTTTTATAGCAATATTATTTGAGTTTAATAAATAGTAAGAAGATATCAAACATGATACTAAAATAGATTATTTGTTAAAGGACAAAAGGGTTATTACCGAAATTCAAAAAATGAGCCAATATTAAGTTTAATATAGTAATATTGTTTTAAAGGGTTACTACAATAATTTCCATTGAAATTTGTGATATTATTTCTGAATTTTTTATTGCTAATTATAAATAATTTTTATACCAACTATGATTTATTCTAAGTTTGCAAAGCTTATTATAACCCTGTTTATTTTTTGATAATTTTCGAATTTCATTTCTCTCTATATTAGATCTGAATTAGGATATATGCTGTCGATAGAATACTTAAAATTATCAATTTGCCCAAAGTCAATTTAATTTTCTAAAATTAACGAAATATTCTTTTCTTTAAGATACTTTAATGACTCTTACATACCTTAAGTTTTTAGTGTATATTCAAAAATTAAAATACAAATAAATGTTAAATTTGATTCTTCTTGTTCTATATCTGTTAATATAATTGGAACTTCTTCAATGTCTTTATAAGCGATAGCAATTAAAATGGGAGATTTTTTTAAAAGACTTTAAATTTCAGTTTAAATTTTTTTGCGGTCCTCTTCTGCTAATTACTTTTAATCTCCTATATTAGATATATAGTATTTGCATAAATTTAAAATTAAATTAGCTTCGCCTTTTGTATACATTCTTAATTTTTTAGTGTTATTTGATTGATAAACAGAACTCATGCATTGCCTTTTTTAGTTGTAGAATTTTTATATTATAAGCTTTTCATCAAAAATGCCATTGTCATATTCCTTTCCTAAATCACTTGAAAAATTAATTAAAGCACATTCAATGTTATCCCCACTATGTTTCCATTAATTAGTATGGTTATCTTTTTAAGAAGAGATGAGAGAATTATTCCAAATGGATTTGGTTAAAATTTCAATCACATTCCTATTTAATTATTTTTTTATTTAAAAATTAGAATCTAAAAAAACCTGATTTAATCCAAGATAAATGCATTGAACTTTTAAGAATTGATGTTTATTAATCTGATTTATATCTTGTATCATGATTTATTTACTTTAAACTAATTATTCAATTGATTTAATATTTTGAAATCTAATTTATTGAAATTAACAATCTTTTGAGAGTTATTATAAGAGCATCAATATTTAGAGTGGCAGGGATATTGGAATTGTAAAAAAGAAAATACTAAAAAAATATAACATTTCTTTAGTCGTTTCTTATGATAATATTTCCCACATAATACTTTTTTTATCAGTATCATTATTTTAATTAAAAATCTTATAATAAAAACGAAGCATAATGATGAATAGTATAATGGTAATTATGAAATAATTTAGCCAATATATCTTCCCATTTATTTTAGATGAGTCAGTTGTTAATATAACATTCTACTAAGTATCTAATTATAATTTGCTTGAAAATATATTCTTTCCTACTGTCATAACTAACATTCTCCCACTTCCATTTACACACTTTGTTCCACTAAATAAAAATGGGTTACAATAATAATGTTTTCCAGTTTGATTTCGTGCAATTTCATCAACTGTTAATTTATATAAAGGATCATTCTTTTGAGTTAAAAAGGATTCATCAACCATAACAGTAGTTCCCTCTAATAAAATTCCTTATAATATTATTAAGATACTTACCATCAACTGGAAATATATCTCCAGTTTTAAAAAGCAATACATCCCCAACTACTAGTTCATCACAAGATATACACTATTTTTCCCCTCTTATTACTTAAACTATTTTTCTTTTTATGTCTTATAAATAACCATTCTTGTTTTGAATCACTTTAAATTCAATAATCAAATTATAAATAGCAATTATTATCAAGATCATAAGAGAGTATTTACTAAGTTAATAAATCAATAATTACTAGCTTAAATATTCCTCTTTACTTTAATTTTCTTAATTAAGCGTCAATTAGTATATTGGAATCAATAAAGTCATCCATAAAAAAATTTAGGTCTGGAAATAATTCCAAAATTATTTAAAAATAGGTATGGAATTATATTCTATTGCCAAATTTCTTCCTCCAAAATACTTTTAATTGTATAAAATCTTTTCTTAATCATCTAATCCTTTCTAATCATTTTTAATTTTTAATACTTCTTTGGTTGTTTGTAGTTAGTGTAGTAAATTTTCGATTGAAACTTATTGAATTTTTTTCCAACTGCCGCCATTTAGTAATTTTTCAATATCAAATATGGATTCAATAAGTTTGGGATATTCCTCAGCAAACTCTTAAATTGAATACATTTGTAGAATTTAATATTAGATAAAAAATTTTTATTTTAAAAAGCTATTGTTTCTAAAATTATTTATAATTAAAGATGATTCAATATAATATAATGTAATTTAATTTAAAATTAATATTAACGATATTTTCATACTTAATATAATTTTAGAATAAATTATAAAAAAAATGAAACAACTTTTTTCTAATTACGTAAATATAATATAATATTTAGAAATTAAATGCTGAATCGTACAGATAAGAGCTCATAATTTAGACGAACCAATTAAAGTCTAGAAGGGGCTTCTAGAAAGGATATAATTTCAGATTAAAAATCTAGAAAGGAATTAGGTGTTCCTTAGGATGAAGACAGAAAAATGTTAGGATCAAAAGAGAGTGAGAAACGATCTCAAATAAAAATTGGAAGTCATTAATAATCTAGAAAGACTTTAAGAGGATAAGATGAGGAGGAAAAAGGAACAAAAGTAATAGGAGAAGGGAGATTAGATGAATATGGTGAAGAAGAAGAGGATATTGTTTGTTTAAGATTTCCTCATCTATCCTTTTGTCCTTATAATTATTAATCATAATTAAAAGAAACTTTATTCATTGAAATTTAACCTGGTATTTATCTCTGTGGATTTGCAATGGGTTTATGGACTAAATACCTTTTATAAAAAGCAGTAACAAATGTACTGAATTTAACTTCAATGGAGTACACAAAAAGAACTAAATATTTTAAATATCTCAACATCGATGTTCATAATACTTCTGATGAAGATATAAAAAAACATTTTAGAATTAGTAATAGATTTATAAGAGAAGTAGCATATATCAATAAATATTAAATAGACGTTACTATAGAAAGGAAAAGTACTTATTCATTGCAGAGATGGACTTAATATAGGTCCATGCTTTATCTTAGCTTATTTGATTAATGAAATCAAAATGCCTTTGAAATTAGGTATTGAGTTATTGTAGACATTAATTCCATAATTAGATATTGCTGTTCATTTCTATAAATAATTAGAACAATATGATTTAGAGAAGTTAGCTCTATTATAAATAAAAACTAAGGATTCATGATTTTTAATTTTGATTTACAAACATAATATATTATTATATTTCATATTCATTTTTCAGTCAACAACATTATTCGTATTTCATTTGAATTTATTAATTATTTCTAAACTTTCTTTTTTTTTTATTGGATAGAATCAATTACCCATAGTATATGAAAAAAATATGTATAAATGACATTATTATTTTTAAGGTAATTGATAATAAAATAAACTTTATTTATATCAAAAATCTTCTTGATCTGATAGCTGTTCAATATTTTAGAAATACTATTTATTATTCAATTAGGTTTATAGAATGCCAATTTTCACATCCATATTTTTGATATCATCCTATAAAAAATAATAATAATAGTAATACTTTTAGTTAATTGATAATTTACTTTTATCTTGGTCTATAATCATTTGAGATTGGAGTCTATTGTTAAACAATTAGTAATTATTGATTTAATTATTAATCATGTTCTAATTTAAAGCAATTAGATTTATTTAATGCGTTGATTTGAATTTAAAATTCTGTAATAGAATTTTTATTATTTACCAATTATTCTTAAAGTTCAGGTTAAATTGAATTAGTAAATTAAGTCTCTAATTTAGGTATTAATTCGAGATAATTAATCCATTATTATTGAATTTCTTGAACTTAATTTGATTTGAAATACTACGATGCGAAAGTAAATTGCTATTGCTATTTGGAATGAATTTACCTTTGAAGATTATTTGAAATGTTTCATAGTTCTTTGATAATCTTTAAGATATGTCTTGGTTGTTTTGAGATGAGTTTCAAATTTATTGAGTTCTTATTCAACTCGATTATACTCATTTATCCATTCATTAATGGCAACATTAGTTTAGATAATTGATCTATCTTTAGGAACTGAATGAAAATCATTCTATTCTGTTTTAAATTTCTTTTGATAATATAGTATACTCTAAGTAAGTTCATCTTATTCAACTTCATATTGTTCATCTTCCATTTATTCTTCAGGAAAATCTTATTCATCATTTTATTAAGATTATTGAAAATTAGAATTGAAGTCTTCATTCTAAAAAATTGGCATTTAAAATTTAAAATTAACTCTAATTAATTCTCTATTAAGTAAATCATTAAGAATAAAACAAACCATATCTCCACAACCAGATGAAATATGAGGAGAACCAAGTTATTCAGGTAATTTGATACCCCAAGCTTTAATATCTTATAAAAGTTTTCTTGCTGTATCTTCTAAATTATTACTATGTTTTATGGGTTATGCCAATTTATTTTTTTTTTATTTCGGTAAATTCATTAACCAATTGCATAAATCAACAAAATAATAAAATCGGAAAGACGAGTTTACATTTTCATCTAAAGAAAAAAAATATTTTGATATAGGTTATTTTTTTAAAGGGGCACAAAAGTTTTAATGATATTAAACTAAAGATAACTTTTCATAAATATCCTTAATTTAATAATTATATTTTACTTCCATAACTAAAACATTAATTATTTAAGGTGTTTTACTAGTATCAGAATATGATGAGAACATTTCTTAAGCTTTTTTTATAACATTATGAGCATCTAATCTTTTAATTGGATCAACTACAATCATATTTTAAATAAGTGTTCTTAATTATTAACTATAACGATTAGATACTGGTTTAAATTCACCTTTAGTAATATTGTTGAATAAGTCTACTAATGACATTTTATCATTTTATTTAAAGGGATTTTTAAATTCAGCCATTTCATATGAAATACATCCTAATGACCAAATGTCTGATTTCATATCATAGCCTTCTCCATGGAGGAGCTCTTCTTTTAAATGGAATATTTACCTCAGGTGACATGTAAAGTGGTGTACCAACTTTAGAATAAGCTTCTATAGTTTCAGATGAAAATATTCTACCAAGTCCTAAATCTCCTATTTTTAATGTTCCATCTGCAGCTATAAAAATATTAGCAGGTTTTAAATCTCTATGCATAATTCTTTTTTCATGCATATGTGATAAAGCACTTGCTATTTATAGTACATAATTCCAAATTTAAATTTCTTCAAATGGAGTATCATCAGCTTAAGCACTTCTGATAAGTTTTTTTAGATCTCCTTTCTCAGCCCATTCAGTTGCAATAATTAATTCATTATTGTATAGAAATGAATCTAAATATTTAATTATGTTTTCATGATCCAAGGGTTACATTAATTTTACTTCTTTTAAACATTTCTCTCTCTATTTTGGATCCATCATATCAAATATCTTTAGTTATTTTTTAATAACTCTCTTACTTTAATCTTCTTTAATGCAATTACATTCCCTTCTTAATTCATTGCTTTATATACTGTTGAGAATTTGCCTTCACCTATTGCTTTCTAAACTTTATAACCATTTATTTCTTAATCTATAAATTATGACATTCACTAAAAATAATTATACTATACAAAATTTATATTATTATTATATATAAATATTTAAGTGTGTGTAACTCAAATAAAATGTCTATGCGCATAGTGTAAACTACAAAGAAGATTCTAGACATGTCTCATCCTACTCAAATTTAATTGAATAATCAAAAACCTTAAATGTCATTAATGCCTAAAGATAAAATTATTATTGGATTAAATTCAAAACAAGATAAAAAAATGAATAAAATTGTAATCAAATTAGAAGATCATATAAATTAATCTATTTAAAATAATTCATAATTATAATAATAATAAGATATTGTTTAAAATACATAATAAGAACAATTACATAATAAAGATACTAAAATATCAATTACTCATACTCATTTTGAACTTAAGGTACCAAAGATTATTGTATAAAAATCACTTGAGATACCTAAAATCATTTTGCCTACTTCTTAAATAAGAGTAGATGATAATTAAATATCTTAAAAGAAAAATTAAACAAATTTATTAAAATAATCATTAAATTAGATTAAAAAATGCAATGAACCAATTCAGTTATTATTATAAGATGATGATAAACGAAAAAAATATTATTCAAGAGCATAAAGAGAAAAAGAAGATATTATTCATTGGGGTTAAAGAAAATTATTAATTAGTGAAATATGGTTTTTAACAAAGTATGGTTGTTTATCTAGGAATATTATTTATGCAGGTGCTGCTCCAGGATCTCACATATAGTTATTATCTGAACTATTTTAAAATCATAAATTTTATTTATTTGATCCAAATGACTTTTAAGTTAAATAGGGACCAAAGATTACTATTTATTAACGTTGTTTCACAAATGAAGAAGCCTAAAAATTTAAAGACTTATTTTAGGTATGAATTAATTAACAAGAATGATTATCTATTCATTTCAGACATTCGAACAGCCAATTTTAAATGTATGACCCCTATTGAAAATGAACAAGCAGTACTGAGAGACAATTAATTATAAATGGAATGGGTTAAAATACTCAAACCTTAAAAAGTATATTAATTAAACATTTTTTTAAGGCTATGTTAAAATTTCGTTGTGCCTATCCTACTGAAATTAATGAACCAACAGAATTCTTTTAAGGTGAAATCTATATTCAAGCATGGGCACCTGCATCATCGACTGAAACTAGATTAATACCTTATCATTATCTCAATACGATATTTTATGATAATCATAAATATGAAGAATAACTCTTCTATCATAATGATGTTGTTAGAAAAATATAAAAAGGAGCATTAAGTTGGGATGATTGAGCTGAAACTTAAGTATTAATTGAATACTTAAGAAATTCAGGAATCAATGAAAATTAAATCATCAAATAAGTAAACTTAATCAAAGATTAAATTACATAAAAATTGAATTATAAATGAAAATCAATCTAATTATTATATATAAATTTATTCTTCTATTATTCAATATTATAGAAATCTTCCTTTCTAATGTCTTGTTCCTAATAATTAATATTAAATTTATAATCTAGAGTCTTTTAATTATTTTTATCATTATTCATATTTATTAAATTATAATGAATATCATATTTCAGAAAATAAATAGATAGTATAGACTAATTCGTCATTTCTAAAAATAAATATTTAATAAAATAAAGATAACCAAATAAAGTGATGTTAAATATCAATAAAATATTAGATATTCATAAAATGAATGATTATAAATATTATTAAATTATAAAATGAAAAATTTTGCTACAAATCCTAAAAATATTGGTGGAATGAAAATTCTTAATGATAATATGTTTTTACATCATAAAGCACTTATTGATGTTAAACCAGCTATTAAAATAAAACCACCTAGACCTGTATATTATTTTAAAATAAAAAGCATGTAAACAATATTAAAAAAGTTAATCCATAACAGCCAAAAGAGATTGACCTTCCTATGTATAAAAATAAAAAAGAATTTGATTAAGTTATTAAGACATTTTAAACTGTGATTGGCATGAAAAAAGGTAAATCTTTTTAAACAAATCAGGGAGAATTGATTCAGATGCTCCTATGACAATGGAATTTAGAAGAAATATTTCAGGAAATGCAACAAAAAAAGAGAGATTTGAAAGAGATCAACATATCTTAAATTTACAATCTTAATATAGACGTATTGCCAGTGCAGGTAGTATGTAAGAAAGGAAGAAAAATTCTAATGATCCAATAGCACACCCTCCAAGATTCTTTAGAAGAGAAGGTGAAACTGTTGCTAATATTCAAATTGATAAACTCTTACATCATTTTGTATTTATGATATTACTATTACTTTTATTAGACAAAAGAATAAAGAATGCTTGAAGAAACACCTAATAGTGAACTCTCTTAAAAAATTGAAGAATTAAATAAAAAGAAAGTACAACTTACAAAAACTAATAAACCAAGAGCATAATCAGCTAAACCTAAAATATAAAAATCTGAATCATCAAATAGAATGAAAACTAGAAATGCTGATGAAATTACAACTGAAGTCAAAGATGTCCCTAAAGTTTCTTCCAATACAGAAGAAGATATTGAATTATTACGTTAAATGCTCATAAGTAATCTTAATACTTTATTTAGGAATTATATTTCAACATAAAATATTTAAGACCCAAGATCTAGAAACCTTATTTGCTCGTGTTTTAAATCAAAATCAATAAATTGATTTGATCAGAGCAGAAATACTTTTTGAAATGATTAGAGAATAACTTAAATCACAATGAAAATATTATATATATATATATATAAGTATTTAGATAATAATATTCAATCATAATTTAGAATTAAAATATTAAACATGTCTAGCCTTTTAACCATAATTATTATATTGAGACTCATTAATGTATTATTAATTATTTTAAACATAACTAGATACATTTCCTTAACTTACAGCTATTTGAGAATAATTTTAAGGTAATTCAAACTCTAGTAATAAATCATCCTTCATTTTATATTTATTTGCATATTCATAAGGACTTTAATATTTCTTTGATTTAATTTAAACTTTTTATTGTAACTATATATTCTTCACAATCCCAAAATATCTATTTTATTAGATCTTAGATTATGCTTAAGATTATTCAATTTAAATTTTTTAATCTTAAGGTTCCAATCCTTTTGTAAAAGTTTAAACCTAAAGTTTATGTTCTTCTGGTTTAAAAACAAAATCTTCATTATCAATTATTTTATCAGCTCCTAATAATTAATCCAATTACTGATTTTGATTCAACACATAATCATCAAATCCATCTTTTTATTGTTAAAATTCTAACATTAATTCTCTACTAGGAAACATAGCATCACTAAAATCATCTCTTTATATTACTAAATTATCATTTCTAATAAATCTATTTAAAAACATGATATAATCTAATTAACTCAAAGATTAAATTTCAAATTTATTTAATAATTGATCCAAAGATCGTTTATCTATAAATGATTAATTGCCTGCAATAACTTTAAATACTGTATTAAATTTCCATTAAACAAATTAAGCTAAACCCATTTTTTCAATTTCAATAATTTTCAAGTAATCAATCTCTAAATTAATTAGCTTTGCAACAAAATCCTCTAAATAAAATGAAAGTTTATCTAAAATTAAAAATGAAATTCTAACATTCTGATGTTTAGAGTTTTCTCATAATAAGTTTCATGGCTTGATCCTTATTATATTTAGGAACAATAAATTCAAGAAACTTTTAATGACTTAATTTATCATTGCCTTTACTGTAAATAGATATCCATAAATCGCAAAACTTCATTAATAAACTATATCCATTCTTGCACATAAATCTAAAGATATCAGCTGAAGTCAAGTATCCTTTTGAATTAGCATCAATAGTTTTAAAAGCTTCGCTTACATCAAATCTAATATTTTCAGCTAATGCTATTTTAATTTCCTCAGCCTATATTAATATATTTTAAAACATCTTTTTCTGTTTGCAAAACAATTCTTAAGAAAATGATTAATTTCTCTTAAAGAGTATGATTAAAATCCGCTTCGGTGACTGTTGGGTTTTACATTAATTTAAATTACTAAATATTTTAACATCAATTATTAAAAAATTTAATTTTTTATAATTTATTTTATAAATTATGCTACTAATATAAAATATTTTTCAGTTATTTAAATTTTCTTCATCATCTTCTTGTCTAAAATAAAAGATCTCTTACTTCATTGACTTAATTCTTTTAAGTTAAATTTAAGATTATTTATTTTAATTGGTTTTGAACATTGAATTATAATTTTAAAGATTTTGTGTTATCTAATTGTTTTCTTTTTTATTTTGAGTGAGATTATTCTGTGGCATTGACATAAACTAAAATAGTTTAGAATAATATTCTATTAAAAGAGAGACTATTTTAATAATCTGATGTTAATTATTTTATTTACTCAATTAGGCAACATGTTATTAATACTAAATTTAATAGTGTTTCAATTGTATTTGAGAAGCATTCTTGTATTGTTCTTTTGGTAATTGATTTAATAATAAGAATATTAGGTATTTAATTTTAATATGTTTTTGTTAGATTATATCTATAAAATTTAGATAGTAGTATAAACTAATTATCTTCATAAATGTATTTTGGTTTTTTAATGTAATATAGAATTTAGATTTAGATAGGATATTTTGGTGTATAAAGAAATTGATTTCGATGAAGTAGAATTGTTTAAAGATATTTATAATCTTTGATAATTAATCTTCAATATAAGAATAGTATAATTTAATAAGAATTTATAATTATGATTTTTATATTGCTTGTACAAATTAGTTAGTGTTTAAGCATTTCTCAATTTTTGGATCTAACTCCATTTTAAATATAGGAATTGAAGTTAGAAACATTATAGGAGTATTTTATATCAGGTTCAATGGTGGGTTATATAGGGTTTAAGGAATATTATGAATTGATTGATAAATTAGCTAATTCATTTCCAAAATATGTAACATTGTAATCATTTGGGAATACTCATTTAGGAACTAATATAAAGACTATAAAAATATAAACAGCCAAATCTCCAAAATATTAAATAACTATGATTGGTATGTTGGGTGGTACTATTGATTTAATCTCTGTAAATTATCTCCTATATCAATTGTTTTATATCACCATATAATTGTGTAATAATAATCAATTTATGACGACTTTATTTTCAGATAAATAATTATTGATCACTCCTTTAATCAATGCTGATGGACTTCACTTTATAACCAATTAATTTATTTAAACTTATGACTTACCTTTAATTTTCAAAAATAGAAATCCATCAAATTCAAATGAATGTTCTTAAACTGAACAAGGAGTAGATCTTTCAAGGAATTTCTAATACAAATTTGGAATCAATGATATAGGATCATCTTCAAATTAATGTAGTCAAATTTACAGAGGAAGAAGGGCATTTTCTGAAGTTGAAACATTAGCTATAGATAATTTAATTTAATAGATTCGACCCAATATTATTATTGTAATTGGAGGTGATTATGACAAGTTGATTATTCCTGATTCCAAATCCTCAACTTATTAGGAACTCCTTTATTAAATTGCTTATAAATATAATTTCAATATGGGAGACTATCAAACTTTAAATCAAGTCGAAATAAATGGGGACTTATGTTAAAATTACATTTATCAAATCAATAAAATATGTTTCACTTTTAATATTGGATAATATGCATTAAATTAAACTATCCTTTACTTTTAGGATCTTCTACTAGATTTCTTATCATATTACAGTCCATCACTTCAGTAAAAGATATTTACATATATAGAATCTAATATGAATAAGCATTTGATTGTAAACATGGCAAAATGTTATGTAAAAAACTCCAGTCTAATGAGAAAGGTTGTATAGTCATCGTTTCTGTTAAGAATATAGGCTATAACCAATTTAATGACAATATTGTGATTGACATTACATTAAATTAAGGAGGTGAAAAATTATATTAGATTAATTCTTATGTTATAACTTAAAGCATCTAAAATATTAGTGATTCAAAATTATAGAATGGCATAAACATTGAAGAAATATCTACAGATAGAATTTTTAGATATTAAATTAATAATTCTAAAAAATTAAGTTAAAATCAGACCATTTATTTCGTTTTTTTAATTACTCAATATGGGTTCTCTTATAATTACATTAATACGGTTGAATCAATCAATTTAACATTCTCACTTTAAAATACTTTATTAAATTCTCATGTTTTAAAAACATTAACACCTACAAACATGGCTTCAAAATTTACTAATGAAAAACTTTAATAGATATTTCCTAATCGATCTGAATCATATGTTATATTAATATGTTTTGCAGCCACCTCTATTATATTCTTTTTTATTTGGATACTTAGAAAAATATATCTATGGATTTATAATCTTGATCATTTTATTGAAGAAAATAAATCAAAAAGTGGAGGAGAAGATGAAAAAAATTCAGATTAATTTTATTCACATAATCTAGTAGAAAGTAGATTAAATACATAAGTAAAATTCTCATAAATTGCACCTTTCTAATCCATAAGATAAAATGAATCACCTCCACTAAGTAGAATGCCTAGTAATTAAGAATAAACAAAATAATAAATTCAATTATTTAATGGGAATCATTTAATACCTCATTTTAATCCTATTGAAATTGAAAATAGAGTAAACAAAGCATTAGAAATAGTATAATCTTGGGACGATTTAGATAAGTTAAAATAATAATAATAGTAGTTAGACTTATACGATTATAATAATAATAATAATAATAATAATAATAATAATAATAATAATAATAATAATAATAATAATAATAATAATAATAATAATAATAATAATAATTAATAATAATAACATCAAAATGAAGTAGTACTCATTAATAAACTAAATATTTAACACAATAATGATGATTAATTTGTTAAATTTGAGGATTGAAATTAATATAATTAAATTATTATAATTATATGATATTTAATTAAATTTAATCATTCTTTTGATCAATTTTAATTATCTTTAATATTCCTTAATATCGATGGATACAATTTAATATGAGCATCAATAGCCCAGACATAATCTAAATGTGCATAATCATCTATAAACTCCACTTTGATGTGTGTTTAATCCAATTTATTTAACATTTTACCTAAATCATCTGTATCTGTAATAACATCTCTTGTTCCTAAATATAAATATTTTGGGATTGTAAAGTTCTTTAAATTATCTACTGGATATAGAGGAGGATCTCTTTATCCATACAAAGCCAAATTCTAACTAACCCCATAATCAAAATATTATAGTTATTTTGATCTAAAGAATTGCATCCTATATATTTAAATTTGATATACCATTATACGATATTTTTTGATGCTGAACCTCCAGGTTCATGAGCAACCATGTTACCAAAACGGTTCAAATCAATTTTATTTTTTTAAGGAAAACCACATAATTAATTTGTAACTTCAAAAAAGAAACTTCGAAATATTTAAGGAACCATATAACAAAGTGCACCTATTTTAATATTAAAACCATCATCAAAAACAAAGAAGTAAGGGATTCCTAAATAATAGATTAATTCGAATATATAAAGTTTTATAGCCCATTATAAGAAATTTGATCTCTAAAAATCTAAAATCAAGAATTACCAAATTAGAAATGAACATAGCTGGACCTAATCCAATAAAACATTTAAGATGCTATTAGAATTCTATGTTATTTGAAAGATAAGCAAATGCTTATGTGGTTCCTTGAGAATGACCTAAATATATCACCTTAGCTCTCTAAGTCACATTTTTCACATATAATATGATCGCCTTGAAGTCATATTTAGCTAAATCATCAAAGGAACAATCCCAATATTTTTAATTATAATTTACACTTTAAAATTTTGTGTGTCCAATACTATATTTATTTCCTCGATTATTTGCTAACCATACGTCATACCCTTATTCTGCTAAGATGTACGGCAAAGTCATTTTTTTATCGTTATTTATAAGCCAAGACCATGAACTATCTAATAATCCATGTTGCATTATAATTGGGTGAGGATGTGGATGTGTTACATCTTTATAAATTCTCCAAATTGTGAGAATGTAACCATCTTCTGTTATTATTTTGTGACTTTCAAAATTGTATCCCTAACCAAGTATCATGTCAGCTATAAGTGTTGATATACATATAAAAATTACTTGCTTAAGTATAAACTCCATAATATGGTTTATGTTTGTTAAGAATTTTCCTAACTTTATGGAAAAAATTAGAATTTCTTGATTCACATTCTTTGACAAATAATGAAAGGATAAAGTCTGTTAAATATATGGCAATATAGATTGTATAGTAAGTAAATGATAACCCTAGATTAGCAATTGGTTTAATGACCCAAATGAAAAAGTGAAATGTGATTGTTTGAATTATTTAAAAATTCATAAAATAGAAGAATTATTATGATAATTGTGTTTGATTTTATAATAAATCAAATTTGCCATTCTTCTAATCCTGCAGCTCTCTTTTGACTATCCATAACTCCATTGACTAAGGTACATGTTAACCAAGCAGTTAAGAACATTTTACCATAATAAGGAATAGCACCTGCATAGAATCCATGAATTCTTTCATAAAAGTAGATTTGCTTAAAGACATCTAAATAATTTTAGTAATTTAATCTAAATTTTAAAGATTTTTATTTTACCTGTTTTTAGATGGATCAGGGAAAGCTTTAAGAACTCTGGTTTAAACATTATCTAATGGTAAAGTGAAAAGTGTAGCCCAGAATGAAGCCCAAGTTAATGCAAGGAAATGGTTGAATCCAAAATCTCCAAAAACCAACCAAATTTTTTCCTTCATGTAATCATATGGTCCTGTTAAAGAAATATTCAAAGCTGCTAATTTAACAACATGTGCAAAAGCTCCTCTAAATAATGCTCTGCTTCCTCCTATTTGAATAATTGTATAAAATGAATACCTTCTTCTACTTAGATTCTATTGATGGCATCAAAAGCAGAGGTATAATTTCTTCTAATTGATTATGGAAGACCACCATCTGCAATCATTCTAACTTATGCTAATTCAAATGGAGATGTAACAAAAGCAGCAAATGCTCCAACAGATCCGGAAAGAACAGCCTTTTCTCTAAGTGTCAAATCATTGAATGGTTTGACTGGTTTAACTTAATCGTATATTGCTTTATATCTAAAAGTTTAAATATTTGATACAAAAAGTTTCTAATAAAGAGATAACCCAATCTACTGTATAATGCTGCGTCAAATCCATAATAAAAATGACTTAAGCCACCTCCAGTTTCATGAATTTCTCTAAATATTCTCCATGGATTTACTCCCAATTCATTTTTTAGTTATCTCAAACCAATTCCTTCTGTTCTAACTTAGATTCTAGTTTTAACAAATTCTGTGTATAAATAAATCATGTCTTACCTAATGGTTAAGTAAGGAAAGTGGTAATAGCACCCACTGGCACTGAAAGACCAACAACTTCTGTAAGAGATGGCTCCCAATATCTCTTGTATGATCCAAGCATTTTATTTAATTAATTAAAGATATTTAAATTTGATATAAAACAAAATTTATCTTTAACACATATATATGTATACCTTCTTTCTCTCATCTCTATTACATTTTGTATTCGAATAAAATAAAACTTAAGAATTGTATAATTCAAATTAACAGAACTTTATATAAAATTCAATATAAAATTTATCGTTTTTTATGAAACATAGTATAATTTGGTTGTGTACATTAATACTGTTCTTTGGAAATGCTATAAATATGTAAGTTAAGTGATAAATCAAGTAGATAAGAAAATTAAACAGTGTTGTAAGGTGAAAAAGAAAATGGAAAGGTTTAACATATTAAATTAAATGAAAAGGTTGTGAATGTTAAAGACTCACAAGATTTCTATAAATTTGTAGCTTTAAATCAAAAAAGATTGTTTGAAAAAGAATTCATCTAAAAATCTTCAGCTTCTGAAAACTTAAGATTACACAATTTCAAAAACATATAATATACAGCAGATATAGGAATAGGTTAGTCAGGAAATGTGTTTAAGGTGGTTTTAGATACGGGGAGTGCAAATTTATGGATAGATTCTAATAGATGCACAGAACCTGGTTGTTTAAGACATAAATAATATAAACATGAAGAAAGTCATTCATTTTTACCTTTGAATTAAGAATTAACAGTTGAATTTGGAAGTGGTGAATTAAAAGGACTTGTTAATTCCGATACTATTTATTTTGGAGATATTACATTACCTAGATAAAATTTAGCAGAAATTACAAGTGAAAATGGAATCATTTTTAAAAGTCTAGATTTTGATGGAATTCTTGGTTTAGCATATCCATAAATGGCTCCTAAAAATTTCAATCCAGTTTTTGATAATATGATATAATAACGTGCTTTAGAAAAGAATTAATTTGCATTCTATTTTGCCAAAGATCCAAATGATATAACACATAGTGAATTTACATTAGGAGGATATAATTAAGCTCATGTAGATGGAGATATTAACTATCATAATGTCATAGATAAATATTATTGGATGATTAAAGCTGATAGTATTTTAGTTGGAGGATAAGATATTGGCTTATGTGATGATGGATCCTGTAAATTAATAGTAGATACTGGTACATCAATAATGAGTGGACCCATGGATGACGTAGGAACTTTATTAAGAAATTTAAATGTCAAAGATCATTGTTAAGAAATAAAATCTCTTCCTACAATCACATTCAAAATAGATGGAATTGATTACAATCTTGAACCTGAAGAATATGTCAAACCTACTTCAACTGACAGTTCTGCTTTTGCTGAGATGAATAGTTCAGAAGATTGTATTATTCACTCTTTTATTATATATAGAATCAATGGTTGAAGTTAATAGTTGGGATTGTATTGCTTCATTTATTCCCTTAGACATCTAAGAACCGTAAGGACCTGCTTGGATTCTTGGAGATGTTTTCTTAAGGAAATATTATAGCATCTATGATAGAGATAATGATAGAGTTGGTTTTGCTAAATCCAAATGATGACCATTACCCATTATGTAACTAAAATAATTAAAATACTTATTATTATATTTTATTTATAATTGTTGTCTGTTAATGCCATAATTAACCCCTTAAACACTTAATAGGTTATGTGAATACTTTTTGTATTTAGCAAAATTAGAATCTGAAATAGAAATTATTAGAAATCTCCTTTGTGAACACAATCTTTTTCATCCATTATTCATTTTTAAACACATTGATGGAATCTCCATTAATCCTAAAGGTCAAATAGAACCTCCAGATCTATTACTATTTCTAGAAGACAATGGTTTTGTTCACAATTTACAAGGATGTATACAATTTATTGATTTATATGATGAAGAGTCTAAAGGATTTTTACTCTATTCATAGTAAATATTTTCTATTATCATTTTAGATTTCTAAGAATTTGTTTACCTCAAAATAATGTTACCTTAAGATAAAAAATTGCACTCTAAAATGTTGATCATCCTCATTTAGACCAAAAGATATCTTATACACTAGGAAAATTAATCAATTATGAAATTTAAGCAATGTAAAATACCTCCTCATTCATTTAAAAACTATAAGATTCTTCAGATTTTAGTCCCTCTACTTGTTTTGAATTTATAGATTCATAAAATTCATAAATCTTAATGATTTCTAACTTTAAGGATCTCTTTTAACATTCAGCCATTATTATATATCCACATGAACTTCAATCACTCTTCAAAAGATTCGATCTTCTAAATGATGGAGTTATTGATAAATTAGAATTTATGAAATACTTTAAAAAAAGAGTTATTCATCCTAAAGAATTCAAAACACCCATTAAAGAAAAATCTTATCTAAATAATTTCAAAGAAAAAAACTAATAAAAATAACTATAATCTTAACAATCAAACAGATAAAATAAACCATAAACAACTCCTATTAAAAAATTAAATTCTATCTTAAAATAAACAGGTGAATCACCAAAAAAGGAATTTGATAATCAAAGATCAGTTAGTTTTGTTGAAAGTTCTAAGACTTGTAAGACTTAAAATCTTAATTCTAGCTATATATTTAAAACTCCCAATACATAAAATAAAAAATATATTGATTAAAAAACAGAATTGAGAGCTTAAATGTAATTATTCAAAGTCTAAAAACAACATTTAAATTTTGATAACTCTACAATTAAGAAATCTACTTAAAAACTTCCTCAAAAAAATAATACTAAATAATCACCTAAAAAAAATAATAAGAAATTCTTTAATCCTTCTTAATTTTTAAAAGATATATTAATTAAATTAATGAACTTTGAAAAAGAAATCGAAAATATTAAATTCAATTTATACACTAGTTCTGATTTTTCCATCTATAATGTATTTAGAGTTTTAGATAAAAAGGAAATTGGATACTTAGTTGCTGAAGATCTAGAATAATTTATTAATAAATAAAATCTTTAACTTATATTGAAGAAGATATCTTCAGATGGTAGAATCAAATTAAATTAATTTATTTAATTATTATAACCTTTGTCAATTTAGGAACAATAATTTAGTAAAAAGTAAATTTTAAATGAGAAATACTTAATTTAAGGAAGAATAAATTAATTACTCTCTCTACTGTTTGAAAAAATATATTAAAGAGAATAGTTTCTAGAGTAAATCATTTAGGAAATAAAACATAATTAATAATATGACATAAAATATTTGTTCATGATGATTGATGAAGATTCTTGTGATAATGAAATTAGCTTAAAAGATGTAAGAATAAAATAAATAAATATTTTTTAGCTTGATTCATTTTTGTATAAAGAAGAGGTGTAACCAGAATTAGAAGATTTAGAATTACTTTTTAATAGATTGGATACTGATAGAGATGGGAAGGTATCATTTCCAGATTTTATTAACATTTTTTCTTTTTGATTATATATATAATTATTATTATCATGTTTAAATTTTTTTAAAGATTAGAGAAAACCTTATTAATATGATTCATTTTATAAGATATAAAGATAGAGAAGATTTGTTAGATACAATATTATAGGATTATTAAAAATAAATGGAATAGATTCAAAAGAGAATTATGAATATAAACAATCGATGAATTGGATATATCTTAGTTATAGTTTTATAAGGGAATTGAAATTGAAATAAATGAATATTTAGATAATAAATTAAGCGAGAAAATATTTGTAATAACAAAAGATCACATGAGAGCATATTGTGATTGATAAGGTTTTAAGGAATTAAAACTATATTTATTATAGATGTAAAATATAAAACTATTTGTTCCAACAATAAAAATCGATGAAAATATTGAAAAATGGCCTATACAGCTTTAAAAATGATTTGTTAAGATTATTGAAAGATGACGAATTCATAAATTTTTGATTTATGTTTAGAAAGATTGAGTTCGACCTTAACTAATTATAACTTATAAGTATTGAATGAGAATTTAATTATATTTTAGGGTGTATAATAAGATTCTCTTTTTTGTAGTCTAAGATATTATTTTAGGTAATATCTCATTTTCTAATTCATTCTCATCTTTAAATTATAAATACAGATGTTAGATTTTTAGATAATATTGAAAAAGTTAAAAAGAAATTACCTCTAGAAGAATTTAGTTAATAGATTTTAGAGAAAATTGATAAAAATAAATTATTTATACCATATTAATATGCTCTATTAGAAAAACTTACAGATATTGATAAATTTATCTTTAAAATTATTTAACACTTCGCAAAAACCATATTTATTATATCTTAAACTTTTCTCAGATTTTAAGAATGATTAGATAAACTCTATTATTATTTAGCCAATCATAATTACACTATTGAAAAATAATTGAAGAATGTCAATATCATACTTATAAGAACTATTGATTAATTGTATCAAACTTTAAATACCTTCCTATGCTAATTGGGATACTCATTCAAATTTAGGCTTTTTTGGTTGGCTAAAATATTTTAAAAGATATATATCTATAATATATTGAAGAATTAATATCATGTTTACTTACAAAAAATGATTTATCTAAAAAAATTATTAAGAATAATGAATTCAAATTAGAATTGTTGGATTAGAAAATGGAGAATTTTATGATGGTCAATTTATTAGAAATTAAGACGGAATAAACTTGAAACATCATACAAAATTAGATTTATTCATTCAAGAATATTTAAAGATCTAAAATAACAAAATAGTAGAAATTAAAGAATTAAGAATGGAATAATTATATAAATGTGTTGAGATATAATATATTTATAATATAATTATTTAAGTATTTAGACATGTATAAGTTGATTGTAACAATTTCAAAAATCTTCTAAAGTTAAAATTGGTTTATTTTATATAAAATAATATCCTTTTAAAAATTTTTATGGGCAAATACCATTTTACATCTAATCTAATGATTTCTTCACTTCTTATAAATGTGTTGACAATTTAGTTGGTTTTGGAACCTAATCAGTTGTACTTTCTGATTAAGAATCCTTTTTATCTATTTTTTTAACCAAAGATGCATCTGTAGTCTTGATTATCCATGTAGTTTAATCATTAAAAGAATCTTGCTATTAAATATTTATTGTATAATATTACTTTTTTAAATGATCTATTATAATTTTAAGATTTAGCTAAAGAAACAGGAGAACTATTATTAGTATTTGGAGAATGATAAGTAAACTTTTTTCTTTAATCTATTTTTTAACTGCTCTATAAATTATGTTAAGAGGATTACTACTGTAAAATAGGTTGCAAATATATACTTAAAATAATTTAGATCTCATTTAATGCATTGAAGCATAATACTATATCTAAAGTAGTTATTTCTCAACTTTCGTTTGTAAATTGGATATAATTCTTTAACAGGTTTCTGCTTATTAATATAAAACTGTTGAAAGTTCTTAATTTTATAATTTTAATTGGTTTTTTTTCTATAACTATTTATTCATTCATACTTATGATAAACTTGATACTTTATTGTTAAGATTTTCAATCTCAATTTATTAATTATCAATAATCTTTTAATACTGAAATATTTTTGTATCATCTATCTTAAGTTAATTAAGTTAATTATTATCAATATCTATCCATCTTTTATCAGTACTCAAACATTCATCCATTCCTTGACTATTATTAAGTCTAGAAGTAAAGATTTCAAATTAATTTGAATTGAAAAAGTCATTAACTTATTAACTTTATTTCATTGACTATTATTATTAATATGATTCTAGAACACCTATAATAATTCTATTAATCTTTTATACGTTTTAAATCATTAAGTTCTTTTTCACTATTACTTAATTTTTACTCAAGTATATCAATTTCTCTCTACTATGATTCAATACATTTAGTTTTATCCTAATTTGTAAAGCTTGTAACTTTATGAATCTCTACTATTTAATATTTTGTTTAATAATGTTCTAATCTATTCTATAATTCCAAAATAATTTGCTCCTAAAGAATTGATGATGATTTTTCAAAGTAATCATAAAATTGTTTCTCTATCTAAGACACTGCACAATCCTACAGAATCAACTCAAATTTTTTGTTATTATTTTATACATTTTAATTTCCTTAATATCATACCATATAAATTATACCTGTTTATTTGATATTTCTTAAACTTAATTATAGCTACTAATTCTCCTATTATACTTCTAAAAGTTGTTATTAAACTTTAACAAGCTATTATTTGTAATCTTCTTATTAAATTGATTATTAAGATTAATTTTATTATTGTTCTATTCTATATTGCAACAAAGCATTCTTCTTTTCCAATTCATCATTAAGCTAGATTTATTATTATATTTTTTAGTATACTTATATGGCATTTTTCAAAAGAAATCTAAGCCTCTCTATTGTTCTTTATTCCTCATTATTTGTAGTTTTTTCTTTTTTATTATTTTTTGGTGTATTATTTGTAGACGCTAACATAATATTAACTAACAATTATAAAATTATAATTATGATTAAATATTGAAATTATTTTTAGGATTTATATATATTATATCTTTAGATTAGAATAAATAAATTTATCATCAACCTTACAATCTCAAAAGGCATTCTTAAATGAATGTTTTGGTATCCCTAATAATGTAATATACTCTAATTAATTCATCAAATTATCTATTTCTATAAACAGCTTCTGTATCACAAGAATCACATTTATATTTATAACATTTTTCACAACATGAATGTCCACAAGGAATATAAGTTCTGGGTTTTTCAAATAAATTTTAACATCTACAACAACGAAGACTTAATTTAAGTTCAGTCTCTAAGACTTCAATTCTCAATAAATGCTTTTATATTTAATTTTCTTAAGCAGATTTATCAATCTAATGATTTTATTAAATTAATTTTTCTTTCAGAGATTAATTTTAAAATAATAATTATTATAAGAGAGATTTATCTTGTTGTTGAGTATCAGTATGTTATTTTGGAGATGAAATATCATTTGGTAATGTTTATAAAGTCTTTTTATTTTATTCTTAGCGATCTTTGAATTGTTTTTTAAGATTATCTAATTAATTTTGAAGATTCAAAATTACACTGTTTTATTGTTCAATTTATGAATTTGTATTTTTGATTAACATGGATTGTTTTTTTATAATTTAATCTTATTCTTCAAGTTAAGATAATAATTGTTAAATAGATTAATGATTCTGTTCTTAAGAGTTCTTATATGAAAATTAAATTTTATCAATATTATTTATATTAATTGAGTTATCTTCAGCAATTAGAAGTTCATATTAATAAATTTATTTCAATTTAAATAGTAAATCATCATATCTTGTTTCTGCTTCAATAGATTTTCCTTTAGTAAAAATAACCTTTAGAGATTGTTTTTGTAATTCATCGATTTTTTAATCATAATTTCTTTTAGTAATTTTTTCATTAAGTTATTAAAGATCTAATTATTGCTGAGAAATAAGAATACATTCTTACTTTAAATTTTAAACATTATGTACATGAAGATTGAGAAGTTATCTTCATTACAAATGATTTATTACTTTAAACATATTCTAGTTGTTTTTATAAAGATTCGATTTAAGATTTTAGAGAATAAACATCGTGATGTTCACTTTTTTGTTAAAGCATTCTCTTTTATGAAATATCAGGAGTTGTAGCAGTGGGTCTATTTTTTTAGAGATTTCTTAAATTAGGAAGCATTGTTAATTATTTATAATTAAAATTTAATCTTATTATAAGTGAATAAATACATAATTAATTGAATAAATATAAATATATAAATATATATAAAATGTTTAATAAAAGGAAACTCTTATAAAATATAGTAGAACTATATTATGAGTAAGTGGAATAGATGGAGAATAATTATGATATTGATAATAAATAGGCTACAAAAATACAGTCTTATTATCGAATGTATGTGTTACATAAATCTTACAAAAAGAATCAAAATGCAACAATTACAATTCAAAAATATTGTAGAGCATATTTGGCTAGATAATTAGTAAAATAGAGATTAAGTGAATGCAAAAATAAGAGAAATGTATCAACAATTGTGTGATATTAATTTTAGATAATTTATCTTTCTCATTAAGCATAAACAATATAAAGATATTTTAGAGGATATATTTATAGAAAATATGTTCACGATTTCTATTTAAGAAAGAAGTAACTTGAATAAATGAATATAAAGAATCAAAACTTTTTATAAGAATTAAGATAAAAGGCAGAGTAAGAAAGAGAAGAAGAGAAAATCAGACATGAATAAGCCGCAAAATAAGAATTTATGAAATTAGCAACAAATTTACATCATTTAACATCAACAAAGTCTTAACCAGGAATATATAAGCCTCCATTTGCAAAAGATAATCCAAAAGCATTTGATATAGAAGTTGAAACATAATTAAAAATTGCATTTTAAACAAATGTATAATGGAAGAGCTAAAAAAGAAGTGGAAGTGCCTAAAGAGCTGTAACTAGTCAAGGATTCAGAATTAGACCATAATCATAAAAGCTTAAATGAAATATATAAATGTATTGTTTTACTGTTAAATTCAAAACACATATAAAACTATAAGATTTATTAAGAACAAGGGCAAGAATAATATGCTGAGGTAATAATAAAATAAATTGCCTTATCCAATACATCTTCCTAAAAATACACTATGATGATGAAACTCTCTTATACATACATTACAAGTTTCACAATGATAAGTGTCTTTTCTATAATGAACTATTTCACAAATCTTAAAATCATTAATCGCAATTATATACTTGGCAATCATTATGTTTATTTAGAGTTTCTTAAAGGGCTGTGTTAATTCCAGGATTTATTAGAGCAGCAATTACATATCCAAGTAATTCTAAAACATTTAATATTATTGTTATGCAATATTAAATGGTCTTTTGTTTAGGTTTTGTAAATTACAAATATGTTATAATAAATAATCCCATTATTACAAATAAATTTATTATCCATTATGGACTTATAGCAAAGATTGGTTCATCATTTATGAATATCAAAGGAGTATAATTTCCAAAATGTCTTCTCCATTCTTTAACCTTTGTTAATCTCTATTTACATTCCTCATCTGAATCATTTTCAAAAAATTATTCTTCTTCTTTCATCTTATTGATTTTCATTTCTATTTATTAAATTTCAGAATCATCCAATTCTTTTTCTATTGGCTTCTTTGAATCTTCTAAATTATATTTTATATCTTCTTCATCAAATTCAACATTCATATCATCATCATTATCATCTTATTTCTCAAAATACTCAAAATCCATAAAGTAATTATTATTTACTATTTTTGATTGATAAAAATAATTAAGTTTATTTTTCTTTTTTATTAATAACCTTAATAATGATTTAAGAAACAAGAATAGCTAATAGATTGTAATAGGATAAAAAGATTAGATAAAATTAAATTTCAGAATTGTTTAAAATATTTGAAGATGATTAAATACAAACAGATATTGCATAATCATTTTCTAATGAACTTGAATAGGCTGCATTTAATTTATCAGGTGGAGAAAATACTAGAGAATACAGAACAAGATTAAATACAGTTAAAATTAGATTAAATGGTACTAAGGGTACTTAATTAATACAAATTTAGGCTAATTCATTCGATCAGTTTTATTGTAGAAAATTATGACTCCTTTAGAATTAATGGCTTTTGATATGTCTAAATTAAATGAAAATTCAATACAATTATTTTTAGAACAAAATAATAGATAAATTCCTCAAAAGAATATCTCTAATATATTAACTTAAAAAATATAAATGGATAAAGATACTACTTAAAATTCAAATGAAAAACTTAAAGAATTATATGATGATTCAAAAGGTAATACATAACAAGAATAAAACAAATAACTTAATGAATAAAAATTTAATTAACAGGAATTAAATAATAATACTGAAATACAGTCTGAAATAAAACAAAAATAAAATAATGATCAAATAACTACAATTGCAGATACAGATAAAATTTATTTTGCTCCTTAAGAAGAACCAATTTAATAATTTGAAGAATTCATAGATTATGTAATATTTATTTATTACATTCTTAGAGTTTTGAATATAATCAAAAATAAAGAGATTTTGTTGAAGGAAATGATTTTCCTAATATAGAAGAATTATAAATGAATGAAATTAAAAAAAATAATTAATAGGAAGATTAATTTGTAAATAGTCCATTACCTTCTGATAATGTATTAAATTAAGAATTCCTATAAGATGATCCTTAAGATGTTACTAAGGAAAATGTTTAAACTAAAATTTTAGATTCTCAAATTTAAGAAGAAGAATAAAAATATTATGATCATGAATGTAGTTTTTAAATTTAAGAATAAAAATTGATTGATGCTTAAAAATAAAATCAAATTTAAGAGATTGATCATTAACTAGCAGAATTTGCAGCAGTATAAACAATTTAATAAAACTAAAATCTTCAACCATCTTTAATAAATCATTTGTAAGATTAAAAATAAGAAAGCAATAACTTACATATATAATATTTTGAATAATAAATTTATTAAAAAAAATTGGAATAACACTAACATGAATAAAACAATGTTTAAGATATTTAAGAGAATAAATCAGATATTATTGAAGAACTTCCTCATAATTATGAAGAATTCTTTAGTTTTATCACAAAAAGAGATTAGCAATTTGAAAAATAAATCTAATAATTGTTAGATCAAAATAAAACATTGACAGAACAATTTTATAATATGTAAATAGAAAATTAAGTGTAACAAGAAAATTTGGAAATATAAAATCTTAATTAAAAAAATATAATTTAATAATTGATCAATGAGAACAATCTTTTAAAGTTAACCTTTTAATAAAATGAATAACAATAAGAATAATTATTAACACATTTAAAAGAATAAGCATTAATTGAAAAGGCTTAATTCTAAAAGGTTTATTAGAATCAATTATAGAATTAATAGAAACATAGATAATTTCTAGAACAGATAAGATTTAATTTAGAATATAGAAGGGATACTGTAATTAAATTAAAGTAATCAAATTTATAAGGTTTTGGTTTTCATGATGAAATTAGTTAGATTCAAGAATTATTAGTAAAAAATGAATAATTAGACGATAATTATTAAGTGAATTGTTAAACAAATGAAAATCAAATATAAACTATTGGAACAGTTATAAATGCTGATTCTGGTTCAACCTAAATTCGTAGATTTAAAGAGGCTTTGAATCAAGAATATTAAGATGAAAATGAATAAAATTAATTAGAAAGTGAAATATTCAATTAAGGGTAAATAAATTAAACAAGAAATTTATAATAAGGAATAGATATATAAAATTAGAATTATAATTTAGAATAAGAAAGGGATTAGTAATAAGAAAATTAAGTTAAAAATAAAAGAATAAATAATATAAAATAGAATAGTAAAAATAGAATAATAGGATTAGAGAAAGATGAATAAAGTAAAGGATAATAAGTAAAAAGATGTAATGTTGGTGAATCATTATTTGATTGATAATGAATTATTGTATAAATAATAGGAATAGATAGAATTGTGTGTATATATAAAATAATACCTAAGAATAAATATGTAATTTATATAATTTTAAGTTGTAATTAGAAAATATATAAAAAGATTATAAAATTTTTATAGTTTCTTTTGATTATTGTTTATAAAAGTAGTTCAAATCTTAAATAAGCATTTAATTGTCGAATATTAATAATAAATTAAAAGATGTCTTGGAGAAAACCTAAAGTGATTCATCCAGAGAGTGGAAATGGTTATGAAATAAGAGGATTTACTGAACCAACATTTAAAAGAACTCCTCATTGTTCAAATGATGATGATATTGATGTAGACATTCCAAATGGTGATCTTGAATTTGGTAAGAAGATGTATGGTTAAGCATGTGCTGGTTGTCATGATTTAGGTATTATATAATGTATATTATCAAAAGATAGTGATCTTGATTAAGGACCAGCTTTGAGAAATGCATTCTTAAGAAGATTAGGATCAAACAAAAAGTTTTCTAATTATGGATGGGATTTAAGAGCTAGAAGATTATATTGGACAAGAAAATTATTATGGGATTTCTTATAAAACCCAGAAAAAATGTTTTTAGATACTAACATGCAATTTGATGGAGTATTATATAAAAAATATACTTTTAGATTCAAGACCCAAAAACTTTAGGTAGTATCATTGATTACATGTAATATTTAACAGTATATACTCATGATCACCGAGGATCAAAAAGACCCATCTTTTGAAACAGAATCAAATATATATATATATATTAAGCATCACATTAAAATTTTAATATATCTTTTATCATAAACCAATAAACCAAGCAATATTTATTCACAAATAAACTTTGCGATTTAATTCATATAAATATAAATATTATAAAATTTATAATCTCTTATAAATATTGACTGCCAAATAATGAATTATTCAGTTTTTCTAGTTCTAATTAGCCATTTAGAATATTGGAATTCTAATAGGGGAAGGTAAATTAATTTATTGAATAACATTAGGTGGTAACTCAGGTTATTAATATGGACCAATTTGTGTTGTCAAATAATGCTTATGCGCTTGAAAAAATTCTACTAAATCCATAGCATAAATTTCTTTTACTGTATCCTAAAGAGATATCAAATAGATTAAATACTTATTTTAAATTATGAAAGTCAAGTGTATAATGCAATTCTAATTCTAAACTAAATATATATTTCAGCATCGTTGTATAATTATCAATTATATAAAGAAAATTACCCTTGATATTCCTCCTTTATATTCTATCATTCTCATCAATAATTTTCTAATGATCACTTACATCATATGTATCATTCAATTCACTAACTACAATAATAGGTGGTGATTCTTAAATAAATTCAAGTTGTTCACTTGGCCTTGTTGTTATAACTAAATTTATTTTCTTTTCATCAATGAATCTTGCAATATTATTTTAATTAATTTGATTATTTCCTTCAATTTTAAATGAATCCATAATAAAGACCTCAATATCATCATTAATTTTGTTAGAGTTTGAATACATTTCTCTTTATTATATTATTATTAATAAAGAATATGTTTAATAATGTAAAATATAATAATAGATAAAATGTATTAAAATTATAAATCATCATCTTCAACATTTTATCTGTTAATATTTTGAAAAAAATTAGAATGGATTTTTTGGAGGAAATTCCCTAATAGATTCTTCTTATTCTGGTGGAGGTTATAATTAATCATATGAGTCTTATATTTATATCCCTAAATTATTGTTATTATCATTATCTAAATTAATATCATTATTTTTACTATCTTAATTAATTTCATTTAACTTAATTTATTTCTATCCTTAAAAAACAATGATATTTGTCTCTAAAAATAAATTTTATAATTTAAATTAGTTTTATACCGGTTACTGTTCTTTTGATAAATTCGTTATTGTATCATCTAATTGAGGTGGATTTAAATCTTCCATTTATTCAGGTTTTTATTAATCAATTATTTAACTAATATTCTCAATAGGTTTCTATCTAATATTTGTATTTATGAATTAACTTTCAAAGAAACAAGAATCTGGTTGAATTTTTACGATTAAATCATAATATAATTAACGCTGCTCTTGTGAAATATTCTATTTACTAAGAAACTTATTACTTATCTAGTGATCCATATTTCATTTTTATTCTCTTTCAAAATCATATAAGAATAAAAGAGTAGGTAAATATCGTTTTTATTTGATTTTGTGATTATTAATGCTACATTTTTCTTATTTAAGTATAATTCTTACTACATATCATAATTTAGAATATATTACATAGATATCATCAGTTGATTTCTCAAGATTATTTGATAAGGATTTAATGATTACATTCTAATTCTAAATCTTCAATTTTTGATTAGCTAAAACAAATATTGTTTATATGCCAAGTTGTTCTATTTTTGTTTAGAATATGCTCTGATTCTGATATTATTCTTATTCCAATTAAAGAATATAAAGAAGCATTTTTTCTAAACCATGCTTGATTATTTCTGTTTTAATGACTATATCTTAATTCATTTTAATATTTAAATATCAATTTTTATATCATTAGTTTTTTAGTATTTAATTCTGAATGAATCTTGATTAAATCTTTATAGCTTATTAGATTGGCTAATCGCTTTCTATTTCTTCTGATCCATATATTTTATTCCAATTAATCTAATTCTTTAAATTCTTGTTTTCAATTTCCTCAATTTTAATGCCTGATTTTCTCTCCTATTATTATCTTTTACTATTTTATGCAATTTCTTTCTATAAATTACATTTATTTTCATTCAACATATTTTGCTCTTATATTTCCTAATATATATTCTATAATACTTTTTAAACACGTTCTTCATCCCAATTGAAAAGATGCTTCAAATAGTTTTTAAGAACTTTAATACTCTTCTGCATACTACTATCACAATAGATAGCAACTGAACATTTTTTTATTTTAGTCCAAAACTCTTTTTAGATAATATTATTACATGCAAAAATAATCTTGAAGATTCTAATTAATCCTATAAGTTAATATGTATGTTTAAGTAATGTATTCCATATGCTTTCATTGACTAATCATTATCTATACAATTTATTATTGCACATATATTATTTTATTTTAACATTTCTAATGTATTCTCTATCTAATCTATTGTAGTAGTTTTCTCTAAATTGCAAAATGGATTGATAAACTCTTATTCAACTATGTAAAGATTAATTCTGTCATCTATTCTAAATGAAATGTACATTTAATTTATTTTATTAAATACGTTGCTTCAAGTCTAATTAAATCTAATTATAATAGTGAGAAACAATCTATTAGTGATTTAAAAATAAGTATAACATATAGATTATTTATTATTTTGATATACGTATCTATTTTTGTTTGATAATTATATTTATATAAATAATAATAGTAATATATGTATAATTATATGGATCAAAGTTATTATCGTAGTATATAGGAGAAATTAGAAAATAATTTAGATTTTAGTAATAAGAATAATGATGTAAAGAATTTATTACTTGAATGTAATAAAATCTAGAATGTACTTATTAATGTTTAAATTTTTAAGAATGTGTTGGGTTATAAAATTATGAGTTAGATTTTTCAAGCAATCTAAAAATCAGGTCAAAGAGTTTTACTTTTAGATTAAGACCAAGTTTAAATAATCAAATCATGTAAATCTTTAGCAACATTGGGTTTTCTATATAATCAAGAATAAATTAGAATATAATAAAAAGAGAAAGAATTTAGAGAAAATATTAGAAATTAAATTGATGATCTCTAAAAATAAGGTTTATTAGAAAAAGCTTTCTTATTTGATGAAGCTATGAAATGCAAAACAAAAGAAGAGTATATAGAGATTAGCACTACAATTAAAATAATACTAAATGTACTAATAGAATTTGGATCTGACTCATATCATTTTACTTAAATCTTTGATGTTATTCTAAATGCCTTACTCCTAACAGGAAACAATACAACAATTGGAAGAGATCACCAATTATTATCAATTCTTGATAAATTTCATAAGCTTCTTGCCAATTCCACATCACCGTATATATGGACTATCGTTTTTGAATCAATTTTAAATGCATCCACATATATGGAAAAACCTACAGATTTTGTCTAGCCTAATTTAATTGCCAGAATTATCTTATATCATGTATATTAGTTTAATCAACTAGATTCCATTTATGGAAGCTTTATTTAATTATTTTGGTAAGTACTTTGGAAGATTGTATAATTTTGAATGTAAGATGTTCCAATCCATGCTAAATTTTGGTGTTACTTAATAATCACTTGATTTAATATTAAAATTTAGTAACCTATTTGTCAAAGAATACTAAGTAGATATTTTAAGAGATATAAGAAAAGATCTTATTCCTAATCTATTTAAATACATGAAAACTGTCAATACTTTTGATTAGTTATAAAATTTATTTAATTTTTTCTTAATTTCATCCTGTTAATAATTAGTAGATAAAGAATTAGATAATTAACACTTTTCAGATATCATATTTAATTTTGATATGAATTTTGAAATTTATTCAGATTCATAATTAAAAAGAATTGCAAATTTTCTTGCATTACTACCTAAATAATTTAATAAAAAAGAATTGTAAAGCTATAAAAGTTTAGAAGATAAATTAAAAAAAAAAGTTATTTACATACCATAATCAATTTCATAAAACTTATTGATGAATGAACAAATTTAAATTTGGTTTCAGGAGGAAAATCAATAAATTTAGTCAAAATCCAAAACTTAAAAATTAGTTGGTTTAAAAAATTTGTTAAATAGTAAATAATATTTTCATATTAATATTTAGCATGTTACTTGAATAGTTTCATTTAAGCATTATTTTGGACGAAAGATTTTAAAAATCTTATAATAAATGAATTCAAACGAGAGACTGTTGAATTTTTAAAACCATTTAGTTTAAAAACCAATTTTTTGAAAGTATTACTTTGAATAATATTAGTGTTTCTTATTTTTGGATTCAATGACTGATGATATAGATTACACTCCTTTACTATTAAAAAGATCTTTAAGAGAACCATATAAAACAGATGTTAGACAATAAGATGCAGCTGAATTTGGAGTTCATTTATTTGAAGATATGGAAAATAATTTTGATCCAGAAGAATATGTATATAAAAATAATTAATACATTTAGAAATAAATCAAAGAAATTTTTTATGGTATGTCAAAATCTACTTTTATTTGTAAGAATTGTGAAAAACAAACAAAAGGTCCAGATGAAGAGTTTATGTATATTACTTTAAACTTTGAAGACAATAGATAAGCTAAAATGAAAGATGAAATAGAAAAAATGATTGAAAGACATTAAATGAAAGAATAAATTACTTTTAATTGTGAATAATGTTAAAAGACTACTTAAAGTACTCGTACTCTATAATTTTCAAAATTACCTAAAAATATAATTATGTAAATTAACAGATTTGAATTTCAATAAGGAGTTCGTTCTAAAATAAATGATTAAATCAATTTAAAAGCTATAATAAAAATATAAGAAGAAGATAAAGATTTAAATTATGAATTATATGCTGTTTTAATACATTTTGGAGAAATACCAGATGCAGGTCATTATACTATTTACTGTAAGGTAGATAAAAATTGGTATCGATTTGATGATAATTAAGTAAATAAAATTGATGGAGATTTTGATATAATTTAAAGAAATTTCAAGTAAATTTAAATTAAATATTATTTTATAGAAAGGAAGAAACACCATATTTGTTATTTTTTCGAAGAAAAAATAATTGATGTGATAAATAAATATTTTTATATTTTTTATTTAAAAATTAATTAATAATAAATAATATTTGATGTATTATGTTTAAATTTGAAATATACAATAAAATATATAAATTAATATTGTTGTAATAGAATTAAATAATTTATGTTAATTAGACTAATATAAGTTATATAAGTTATAAGGATTGTGAATATAGAGAAAAGTAAAAATATTATTTAAGTAATAAAATATTCAAAGTTGAGAATTCAACTTAAGACCTTCCATTAAAGTAGCAATTTATTCTTTTTTTAAACCTGAGGTTTCAAGAACTTCTTTAGATGATTCAGGATTGTAGTCAACAGTGAAATTATCCATGAGCTAATTATATTATAGATTATAAATTACATATTTATCATAGAATTATCCAAACCAAATTATTCTGAAATCACCTTATCTAAGTGCCCAAAGACATGTAAATAAAATAATCAATGGATAAACAAAAATTGATTACGGAAGTTAGATTCCACTTGATGTAGCAGATAATGTTCCTAATGACCATAATATTATGCCAAAAAAGAGACCAAGCATTCCAATAACAAAATAAACTCTTGAATTTCTATTCTTATCAAATCTATATAAATAAGATATAGATAATCCAGGAACTACTAAATCCATTAATGATAACCATACACAAACTTTATTGAGGTTATATTTAATTTATGGAATCTAAAAAAGCACTGGATAATTGGAATACTTATTAATAATCATAAGAATACTTGTAAGACGACGATTTAATAATTGACTGAAAATAATTATGTCAAAAGATAAAAGTAATATATGCAATCAAATATTATTATGGCTCCATATAATATAGTGACTCCTCTTAAACTTATGACTTTAAATAATCTAAGGAGAGATCCAGATATACAAAAAGTGATTAAATCTGATATATACCATGCTTGATTTAGTATTATATAAAGGGTTACTAATACAATCGATAAAAATATTGATATACAATCACATACTCTAATTGATAAAAAGATTTATGCTTGCAATTTCAAATTTACAGAAAAAAAACATTATAGTTCATTGATTATAAACCAACAACAAAATAATGATAATATTAAGCACAATATTAACACTACTTCATACCAAGAATTTATGTAATGTACAAGTACATAAAAGAGTATTGATGCAACTATATAGATTATGTATAATATCCAATTGACTATGAAACCCTAAAAGTAAAGTACTTAGTCTTCTAATTAAAATGATTAAACTGCTATTAATCTTTTTATAAAAGGATATTTCTTTAGGTTAATTTCAATTTTTAGGGATCTAATTTTTGCCATTTTGGTAAAAATCCAAACACATAAGCATCCAAGTAATATGATAAAAAATGTAGATGCATCAAAATTAATTTTAATTTATTGTTATTCTGAATATAATACATACTAACATACAAGCCAATATTAAAAAGTAAGATATAGTGATAAATTTGATTCAGAATCATATACTCCTAGTTCAAATTCAATCATTCCTGATTCTATTGTATTTGCATCACTTTTTGCTTACTCACAAACATTTTCAATTGCAATATTTGTAGAATTATTTATATGATAAGTTATGTTTGATGAATATCCCAAATTTTTCAATTTAAATTGCTCATTTTTTATAACATAGCCATCTAATATAATTTGTAAAGTATTTTGAAAATTTGAGTATTAAGTGGCATTAATTAATTCTAAATTAGGAGGTGTACAACATGAGGTTTCTTACCAATGAAATAAATTATTATATAATGATACTTTGCTATATATTATCCAAGAGTTTTCAAAAGTATCCATTAATGTTATGGTTTATGAGAAAGCATATTCCACAAAAAAAATAAAAATACTTAAAAACATTATTTAATTAATACAAAACTCTTTTCTTCTGTGATTCATTCTATGAACCAGAAATATTTCTTAAAATTTTAAATTATTAATGAAAATATCATCATTCTATACTCTTTGATACAAATTAATTTAAATAACATTCCATGATAATACAGATTTCTACTTTATCAAAATAGTAAAATAAGAAGTAATAGTAAAAAATCAATATTCAATGATAATTTTGATAATCTACAATTTTATTTACATTATATATATTTTAATTCAAAAAATAATAAAAAAAATAATAAAAAATTATCATCTCTTTGTAATAAAGAAATTAAATATCAGACTCTCTTTCATATTTAGTGAATTATAAGAAAGAGATGAAGAATGGTTTTTTTATTCTTTATCTATTTTTTATTTCTTTGTTTTATTAATAATTCATATAATCGTTATAGTTATTTTGAATGCTTAATACATCAATTAATTTTTTTGAGGAGAATGACATAATCAAATTAAGGAAATATGTATTAAAATATGATTTATAAAGGTCATCACAAAGGAAAATGAATGGAAAAAAGATAAAGCAGTTTTAGAATAAAAAATTTAATTACTTGAGCTTTAATTAGATGATTATAAATCAAGGGAATTTAACTATAAAAAACTGAATGAAACAATAACATAAGCCATTAATGAAACTACTACGATTTAGAAAGTATTAATTATATTTAAATATGATAGAGATCTGTGTCTGAATTATAAAAAAATGTCGATATTTAACAGAAAGATCATAATAAAGCAATTTACAAAGAGTAGATAAAGTCTTTAGAAGTTTAAGTAACAGATTAATAATAAAGAATAGATTAGATCATTAACAGAATAATTATAGGAAAAAGATTCATAAGGGAAAGAGATGGAATTATAATTATAGAAGCAATATTATTAATATGATCATAGAATTATTTAGTTGGAATAGGAAAAGTAATAATAAAATTAAGAAAATGTAAAGTTAAAAGAATAAATGATAAAAGTAGAGGAGAACTATAAATAAAGAGAACAATAGTATAAAAATCAATTTGAATAAGAAATATAAAAAATAAAAGATATAAATATGTAGGATAATAATGCAAAACAATCTGATTATGAATCAAAGTATTCCTAATTATCTTTGTTATATGAGAAAGAGAAGGAATAACTTTAATAGAGAATTAGTAAATGCTAAAATACTATCAAAAAATATTAATAGCATATAGAATAGAATATAGACATAACTAATATTAGATAATAGTATGAAGACTAAATTTAATAACTTTAAGAAAAGAATTCAGTATTATAATAATAATTTTAATATGAAAGATAAATTTTATTGTAATAAATAGATGAATTAAAAAAGCAATATTAATAAAGAGATCATATAATGAAAGATAGTATAAATTATCATGAATCAACATCCAAAAAAAAGAGTGTTGATGTAATAAAGATTAAAAGTTCTTTATAATCATATGATAGCCCAGTGTAATGTAAGAGTTTTCATGTAGCTAATTAAGATTCAAAAGGAATAAGCTATAATTAATTAGTTAAGAATTCATCAAATTAATCTCTTAATTTTACATAAAAATAACTCTAATAATCTTAATAATAATAATAGAATAATTAATCATTTGAAAAGTCTACTAAATTTAATGATGGAATACCTATGTCAATAGATTAATTTAATTTAATGAAAAATAAAAAGTAAAAATCATAAACAACTCTATCAATTCCAACTAGTAATAATTATAATTTAAATTCATTATTATAAGAAGCTAGTTTATTTTAATAAAATTAAGAATCTTTTCAATTGGATTCAAATAGCAATCCAAAAGAAGATCCATCAAAGTAAAGAATTTTAAAGTAATTAAATCCAAACATCAACAATAGATAAATAGATTATAATAGATCAGTTAGAAATGATAAATATAAATAGCCAGAATAATCTTATTAACGATCAGCATCATAGGAGGGATTAAAAGGTTCAGTTTCTAATCTAAGTAAAATGCTTGGATAAACTGAAATTAGTTATTAATAATAATCTAATTCAACATAATAATAAACAAATAATACTACTTTAAATAGTTTAAAAGTCCCTATTTTTACCTAAAATTAAATAAATAGTTTGAAAAATAGTACATAATAAGTATATCCTTGTGCAACTCTAAGAATGAATGAAAATCATGTCTAAAAAGTGAGATATAACAACAATCATAGTACACATGAGGAGATTAAATATAATAAAGAAAATTAATAACCTACGAAAAAATAATCAAGAACTGATATTAAAATGATTATTGGAAAACTATTACAAACAAAAGTAAAATAATCAGATAATATCGAAAAAACTACTTAATTTTCCAAATTTAATCGAATTTGAATAAATTATTTTTTTTACTTATAAAATAATCATTAGATAAATAATTATAGATGGATAGAAGATAAGAAATTAAAGTCTTTCTAAAAGAAAATACTTTATAACAAATAAAGAAAAATTTAATTTATTTATATCTTTTGTATAAAATAATAACAACCATAAAAATACTCAAATCTAATAATGATTAAATTTTTATTACAATTTTATTCAATTTTTTTTTTATTAGTTTTTGAGTATAATTTAATTAAGTCTGACATGTATAAAAAATGGCTTTTAAGGAATTTATTAAATAAATGAATATAATGATGATATGTGTCTAAAAAATAATCACTTATTTAGAATTAATTTTAAATCCTAATTATTATAGAAATTTAAAAAAATAACAAAAATGTTTTATAAGATTAGAAATAAAAATTTTTTAAATTTGAATAATAATGCAAGTTATCATTTAAATAAATTGAAGAGAAGATTAGAAAAAAATAGTTTTAATAAGTTACCTAAGTGAAGTGATTTATTTCTAAATAAAATTGTTGGAAATATTTTAAGGTTATTTATATTAATAAAATTTTAAATTTAATTAAATATCAAAATAATATAATAATTTCATATATTAATTATTTATCATTGATTTTCCGGGAGAGGAACATTATTAAAAATTTAAAGTTCTGAAATTTGTAGAAATTTGTTTATTTACTCAGGATTAATAAACTATTATAATTTAGATAAAGCTTTAACTAGTTTTCCATTTTAACTATCTGTTAAAGAGCTTTTACTTTAAAATTTAGAATCTTGACGAGTTTTTTTTTTTGAAGAAATTTGAGGTCTATTATCTGATAACATAATAGCCTAATAAGGTAAAAAATTTTCAAAATTGGAATAATCATAAATTAAGGTATAAGTTTCTCCTAATGATTAAGATTAGTTTTTATAATCAATTTCTATAAATTCTTAAAGTGAAGAAGATGGTGTATCATCTTATGATCTTATTTCTGAGTATACATCTTCTGCTTATTCCTCTTCAGATTCTAAATCATAGTCTATGAAAGAATATTTAAAAAATGGATTTCTTGGATTTATTGATTTGATTTCAAATATCTTACCATTATAAAATTTACAAGAATCACATAAATCATAATATACTATCCTTTTCATTTATTTAAGAAGTCTTTTCTTTTTTGATTAAATTTATTTCTCAAATTAAATAGGTTTAATTGGTTCAATATTTTAATTTAATATTCTTGGAGAAATTTATTCTGTTTAATAGAATATTTTTTCAAAGTTATTTTATTATAATAAATCCCATTTTTATGAAATTTCTTGATTATATTTTTTAGTCGATTTCTTACACTTTATCATAGTTTACTTTATTACACTATTAATAGGTATAGAATTGATCTATGGTTCTTAAATTTCATTAATTATTGAAATCTGTTCATATGAAGGATGTTCTTCTTTTATCATAGTAAGTTAATTCTTTGATTATTATTCTTGAAAATGATTATTTTTAAGTATACTTTAAATAGAATTAGATTAATCATTTTTCTTTTGAATTTCAGAATTTGTTAATTAGTTATGAAATTTAACTGATTTGATACTAGATTTTGCAGAATATTCAGAAAATTAATCTTATTTATTAAATTAAACGTTAGTTTCTGATTCTTCTAATTTGAAATCTTCAGTAAATGGGAATTCTGTATTCTTTTTTAAATCCAAATATTAAATAAATGCTTCTTCAATATTTTCAATATTCTATTATTCTAAAGAATCAATAATATTTTTAATAGATTTTAGAATTTCAAATACAATAAGTCTTAATTTCCTAACTTATTAAAATATTTCAATATTTCCATGATCTTTTAAATCTTATATATTTTTCATTTCATAATATCCTTGTAAATCTGTAGAAACAAGTTTAAGATTATCTATATTTTTGAATACTTTTTAAATATCTAAAAGATTTAAAAAATTTTAATAATCGAAATTCTATCCCAAATTCACTTCATTTAAATTTATCCCTGAAATTTTTTTCAATTCAATTCGTTCAACAGAATCTTTTATCAATCCAAGCATCTCTTCTAATTAAAATCTTTAATAGTTCTCAAGAGTTGAATTCATAAAACTCTTACAATTATGAGCTAATTTACTACGATGATATGAAATTGGTTAACCCTCTAATTTTATAGAAATAAGTCTTTAGAGATTATAACCATTAATTTCATTCTTTTAAACCATATTAATTAAATCTTAGCTTGGTTAAACATGCAACATAGGTAAACCCATTTTTATTATTTATTTGAATATATGTTAATAAAAAGGTAATCTAGCTTAGAGAGCTTCTAAAATTTCTTTATCCTCACTATCTAAATCATCTTTTTATGAAACCTTCGAACCTTTTGAACTTTTTAGAGTACCTGAAGACTTTTTTCTTTAGTACTTTTTTGAAGACATTTTATAAAAATGTATAAAAATAATAGTTCAAGTTTTAGTTCGAATAAAATATAAAAGGTTTTTAACAGAAATTAATTACTTTTGTAAATTAATTAAATTTCTTTTATCCTACAATATGAGTTCTATTTTATAAAATGAAATCTATTTCCATTTACATTAGACTAATTCACAATAAATAGAGAACTTAAAAGAATAAGTTTAATTATTGTATCATAGGGAATTTAATTTAATTACTATCATATAAATTACCTAAAAGAAATTAATATAATTTTAAGTAAAAGTGATTTCAAATTTTTGGATAATATAAAAAGATGTAGATATTAAGAAATTTGAGTAAATGAATAGTTAAGAAGAGACACTTAAAAAAGATTGTAATTATAGTTAGTAAATTGTATTTTTAATTTTTTAGTTGAGTTGAATGGGTTTCAACTATTTAATTAAGAATATTTAATGATGATAAAGGAAGTGCTATTTATTTTATGTAAAGTTTGATTTATCTATAATTTTCTAATATTATTCTTTTTGAATAATTAATTATATGAAAAAATAAAAAATATAATTTTAAATTTTAATAAGTTATGATTAGAATTCTAGATAGAGAATTGGAAAATTAAGAAGAAGTAATAATTATAAAAATTAAATTTTTAAATGTTTTAGATTAGATTAAATTAAATAATAAATGTAATAATGAATTGAATTGCTCATCATTTTAAAAATATTCTTCTCTAAATTTAATTATTATTTAGATTTTAATTTCTTAATTTGAAACTCATTTAAATATAATATTTATTGATGTATCCAACTTTTCTTAAGATACTTTAAAAAATCCTACCTTTTTTTATTTTAAATGAGTTTTGCACAAGTTCTTTTTAAAATCCTTTTTTTTCTTATCCTTATTTCTTCAAATAAGTTTCCTGTTGTTTAGAATAATGATTCCATCTCAATAAATGTGATTGATCTTTTTGGTTTCAATCATGAATTAGTTAAAAAAATTTAATTCAAATCTAAATCTCAATTTAAAAAAACTACTTATTTCATTTTAAATAACATTCACTATATTCTATCTAATTCATGTTTTGGAGAAAATAATAATGATAATTATTAAGGAACACAAGGATAATTTATAAAAAAATATATTTCACTTATCTAACTTATCAAATAACTATGGTTTTTATGATAATAATACCATTACTATTCTTATTAGCAAAACATTTTTTCATATAATTCTATTATTCTAATTCTTTTTTTTAAACCACTTTACACCTATTTCATTAATTGTTAAATCACAAAAATTTTTATCAAACTAATGTATAATGTTTCTTGTATCAATTGATAATATTTTAATATAACTTTTGACAAGAAAATGAAAATAGGGTCAGAAATTATCTATATTTGGTAACTCAAGAGAGTCATCGGATGTTAAAGAGAATTCTTAAGATAATTTAGCTTTTTGTTTTAATTGATGGATANAATTTAATTTAATTACTATCATATAAATTACCTAAAAGAAATTAATATAATTTTAAGTAAAAGTGATTTCAAATTTTTGGATAATATAAAAAGATGTAGATATTAAGAAATTTGAGTAAATGAATAGTTAAGAAGAGACACTTAAAAAAGATTGTAATTATAGTTAGTAAATTGTATTTTTAATTTTTTAGTTGAGTTGAATGGGTTTCAACTATTTAATTAAGAATATTTAATGATGATAAAGGAAGTGCTATTTATTTTATGTAAAGTTTGATTTATCTATAATTTTCTAATATTATTCTTTTTGAATAATTAATTATATGAAAAAATAAAAAATATAATTTTAAATTTTAATAAGTTATGATTAGAATTCTAGATAGAGAATTGGAAAATTAAGAAGAAGTAATAATTATAAAAATTAAATTTTTAAATGTTTTAGATTAGATTAAATTAAATAATAAATGTAATAATGAATTGAATTGCTCATCATTTTAAAAATATTCTTCTCTAAATTTAATTATTATTTAGATTTTAATTTCTTAATTTGAAACTCATTTAAATATAATATTTATTGATGTATCCAACTTTTCTTAAGATACTTTAAAAAATCCTACCTTTTTTTATTTTAAATGAGTTTTGCACAAGTTCTTTTTAAAATCCTTTTTTTTCTTATCCTTATTTCTTCAAATAAGTTTCCTGTTGTTTAGAATAATGATTCCATCTCAATAAATGTGATTGATCTTTTTGGTTTCAATCATGAATTAGTTAAAAAAATTTAATTCAAATCTAAATCTCAATTTAAAAAAACTACTTATTTCATTTTAAATAACATTCACTATATTCTATCTAATTCATGTTTTGGAGAAAATAATAATGATAATTATTAAGGAACACAAGGATAATTTATAAAAAAATATATTTCACTTATCTAACTTATCAAATAACTATGGTTTTTATGATAATAATACCATTACTATTCTTATTAGCAAAACATTTTTTCATATAATTCTATTATTCTAATTCTTTTTTTTAAACCACTTTACACCTATTTCATTAATTGTTAAATCACAAAAATTTTTATCAAACTAATGTATAATGTTTCTTGTATCAATTGATAATATTTTAATATAACTTTTGACAAGAAAATGAAAATAGGGTCAGAAATTATCTATATTTGGTAACTCAAGAGAGTCATCGGATGTTAAAGAGAATTCTTAAGATAATTTAGCTTTTTGTTTTAATTGATGGATAGAGATTGAATATTATGAATGATAGATTTGATCAATATAATCTGAATTAGGAAATTTGATGAAGTGAGATTAAAACTTAATAAGATATATTAGGATAACATAATAAAGGACAAAAGAGTATGTTTTATAAGAATATATGATCAATCTTTAGTAAAGGAAGAAGAATGAGATGGATGGGGAAGTGAAATTGAGAAAAAATAGTAAAAGTATGTTATATAATATAAATGTTTGTATGATGTATGAATAATAATATATATAATGTAAAATAAGAAATTAAAATGGAAATCAGATTTTGAAAAGTCTGTTATAATAGATAACTTTATAAATAGAGGATGGATTAAATCTTAAGAGAAAGAAGAGGAATCAACAGATTGGAATGTGTATTGGGCAACAGTATGGAATGTTAGGAATATATTTAATCCAAAGAATGGGTTTAGATTGAATGATTAAGTATTAAAAATAAATATAGTAAGTAAATAATAAATCACTTTCCAAATCATTATGAATTAACACGTAAAGATTGTATGGTAAAGAATTTAAAGAGATTTAAGAGGGAATAAGATAAAGAAGCTTTAGAGATGTTAAATTTTGATTTTTTACCCACAACTTATATATTTCCTGGAGAATATTCATTATTTGTAGAAGAATTTCATAGAAATCCAAATTAAACATGGATTGTAAAACCAGCTGCAAGAAGTTAAGGGAAGGGGATATTTTTGTTAAGAAAAATTTAATAATTAAAAAAGATATCTGGAACAAGTGTAACAAGTAATATGACATAATTGAATTTGGCATCAAAGGAGAATTATGTAGTATCAAGATATATAGATAATCCATTATTAATAGGTGGAAAGAAATTTGATTTAAGAATGTATGTTTTAGTTACAAATTATAAACCATTAAAAGTGTGGATTTATAATAAAGGATTTGGTAGATTTTGTAATGAATAATATACAACAGATGTTGCCGAGATTGAAAATATGTTTGTACATTTAACAAATGTTGCAATATAATAATATAGTGATAAGTATTCATAAAAACATGGTGGTAAATACTCTATTGATGCACTTAAATTATATGTTGAATCTGCATATGGTACAGATGCATTATAAAGAATGATGGATGATATTCATAATATCATGTTAACATCGCTTAAAGTATAATTATATAATTAATTAAGTCTGTTTAAGCGGTTATATAAAATGATAAACATTGTTTTGAAATGTATGGTTATGACATTCTATTAGATTCTAATCTTAAACCATGGCTTATTGAAATTAATGCTAGTCCTTCTTTAACTACTACAACACCTGTTGATAAGAATCTTAAAATGAATCTTATTAATGATGTCTATAATATTGTCTTACCAAATGATGATTTCTCAGATTCAGAATCTAAATGTAATTATCTCATTTTCTATTTCTTAGAATAAACTACTAATAAAGTTGGTGGATTTACACTTCTCTATGATGAAAATCTAGATCCTAATATTCGTAAAACATAAAAAAGATAGAGTGTCAAAATATGGAAATGAATTAACTATCAATTAATATTTTTATAATACTTTTTCTATTTTAATTTTCCTATTTAATATATTTATTTAATTTTTAAATGTCACACTAATAATACAATTTATTCCTTATTATTCTATTTACCTTAATTATAATCAATCAAAATATAAGGAGAAGAATATAAACAATTATTATTTAAAGATCATTTCTAATTTTTATTTCATTCTTAATCATTAACAAAGTATTTTTATACATACAAATTAATAAAGAATGTTCCTAATAAATTTCATACATTTCTCATTTCACAATTATTTACTCTCAAAAAAAAGAAGTTCAAAATATATATTCCAGAAAATTAAGTAAACCAAAAATTATGAGTATACAATCTATTAAATTAACGATACCCACAAATTCAAATAAAATTCATATGGATATTGAATAAGAGGAATGTGAACTCATTGATCAATAAAAAATACAAACTAAATGTAATATAATCAGAATGTCATAATAAAATTAATAACTAAGAGATCATTCAAAAATAACTTAAAACAATACCTAACACTTAGAATAATAATCCTAAATATCATGTGATCATATCTAAATACAATTATCATTGATGGAATAATGTTTTACTTCATTACTTGAAAGTACTATTCCTGATGAAATACTTTGTAGAGATTAAGAAAAGATCCTTATAACAAGATTTATTGAAGATGGCATCAAAAACAATGGATAAAAATAAGCATTATGTATTATATACATACTATTAATACAATAGATATATCAGGAGTTCCAGGTATAGGTAAAACTGCAACAGTCTTAGAAATCAAAAACTAATTACTCTCGAAAAAACTCAATTTTGATTTTATCTATTTTAATGCTATGAATGTTGAATCTCCAGAAGATATCTATCCATTCCTCTATTCAAAAATCACTAATAAAAAAGAAACATCCAAAATCAAATCTTGCATTCTTTTAAGTTTTTTATTTACATATTATATTAGCTGAACTTTTTAATACCCAATAAGATATGATATAATAAAATAAAGTACTCCTCTTAGATGAATGTGATAATCTCTATACTTCAGATTAACAAGTACTATACAATTTGCTTGATTGGCCTTAATAACCATCAGCTCATTTAATTGTTTTGATGATTGCAAATACTATGGACTTTCCTGAAAGACTTAAACCAAAATTATAATCTAGATTAGGAAATCATCGAATTGTTTTTAAACCATATAATAGTATTTAAATAGAGAATATATTGTAATAAAGAATGAAAAATATTTTAATCAAATAATTGTTTGCCTCAAATACTCTAAATTATTTAGGTAAAAAAATAGCCACTATTTCTACTGATATTCGTAAAACTTTAAGTGTTTGTAGAACTGCCATTGTTTTAGCAAGAGAAGAACTTCTCAAAAATAATACTTTTTCTTAAATTGAAGTTCATCATATTAAATTAGCTTATGATAAGATTTATAATAAACCATAACATAATGCTTTATAATATTTTAATCATGACATGAAGTTACTCTTAATTATAATTGCACTTGAAATACATCTAAAAACTTAAAATTATGCATATTTTCATCAAGTTATTTAAAGAATGAATCAATTTAAATAATTAAAGAATTAACAAACCTTCAGTTATCATTAAATCAAATTAATCCTAATTAAATTATCTTAATTAAACTTAATTGAAATTAAACAAAATTTAATTTTATTAACTAAAAATAATTGGTAACTCAAATTACAAGTAAATATTCATCTCCTATTATTTTCTAGAATAGTTTAAACAAAGATAGATTATTTAATTTAGATGATATTCTCATTCAACTCAAAATCAATATAGATGACATCAAAAATGGACTTTCAAATGATGATCTTTTCAAAGAATTTTCTAATTTATTTTGATTTCAATCTGAAACTTTATTTTATTACATACATATTTTTTATCAATATTTAATAATCTATATGTCTTTTATAATACCAATACTTTTGATTAAATAAAGTAACTGAATTGTTTAATCATGTTCTACTATTAAGAGTTTATCTTTGCAAATGATGAGTAACTGTATTATTAGTTTTAGTCATTCATTATATATATTCTATTATAAACTTAAATGATTTAGCTATATATATATGGTATTTAAAAATATAATTAAAAAATTATCAATAATTAATTACTAAAAATATATAAATCCCGTTTTAAAAGTAGAAAGTTTTTATTGATCGTCATTTTTTTTAAAACATTTAAATATTTTTAAGTGGATATAAACACTTATAAATTTAAAATTTTCTAATGATGAAATTCAACAGATAGGTTATAAGAAAAGATTTATTGAATTAAAATTTTCTTTTTGAAAGCTCTTTGAATTTAAATATACAATATTTATAATAAAAATTGAAAAATTTATAATATTATATTATAATCATTATAAGAGATTGTCATATATTTTTTAAACATATATTAAAGTTTTAAGAAAACTTTCTTCTCCATAAACTGACTAAGGTGGTAGTACATATGGTAATTATCTTATTTTATAAAAACGATTTCTAAAGAATCTATATAATAAAATTGATGATAAAAACTATTAAATAATAAAAATAACCATAAAGACAGAGAAAAATATAGTTCTAAATTGAATTTCTGCTTCAAATTTAAGGATTAGATTCAATTAACCTTAATCCATTATATTATTAAATGCTTCACTAATAAAATTTAATCCTATTAGATCTAATTCAGTTAATTTTATTAAGTTTTCAAATTCATAATTGTTTTAAATATTTTCGCTAACTTTCTACACAAAATAATCTGTTGAATAGATTAATCCTTAAGTTAATTTTCCATCAATTACAATAGAACATAAAGTATCATTTATTAAAGAACATGAGTCATTAGTTAAATATTGAAGTAAATCAAAATAATTTTCTTCAGTTTCTGAGGCTATCATTTAGCCAAAATATATAACTTTATTATATGATTCTTAAATCAGAGTCTAATATTATGTTATAATATCATTTCCGATGGAAAGATTATAATGAGATTAAGAATATTTTTACAAGATTTAATCTGTCATCATCATTTAATAGAATTATTCTGTGTATATAATATTTTAATTAAATAAATCCAAATTATTTTTTAAACTAGTAATATTTGAAGAATTAAATACTTTAACAGTTAAAAAGTAAACCAAACCTATCAACAATGTTATTGATTAAACTAAGAAAAATAATCTCTAAAATTTTGGTTTCTCATCAGAAATTATAAATTATTTTTTTTACTCTTATTATTACACAATCTATTAAAATCTCATGGATATTCGTTTATTTGTAAACATATCATTAAAACTAGTATTGATATTACATTTATCCTTAAATTGAAATTGATACTTATATAAATTAAGATCAGATGGTTATTAATATCGATGTTGTAAAGATAATAATCTAATGGATTCTGTTTCTAAAGCTTTAAAAGATATTTGTTCACAACTCCTTAAAATCCTATTAAGAAGTCGAAACAATTAACGAAATACTATTGAATAAACAATTATTAGTAAAACTTCATTTACTAAAAAAATGATTAAACAAATTTCCTGTTAGTTTTCAAGGTCTGAAACATTGTTGTCTATTTATTATTAAAATTTTATTGTTAATTTTTCATAAGCTTCCTTATGGACTGAATATTAACTAATTAAAGAGCCAAGAGAACTGTTATATTTTTAAATAGTAGTGATATTAGATAAATTGATTCCATAAAGTCCTTATTACATATATATAACATAGAACTATTCAGTCCAAGCACTTACTTACTATTCATTTCCACTATAATAATCAAATTAATTTATATAAATATCTGAGAGTGTTGCTTTAACTAGACTATCATCTAAATATTATTAATAATGAGATAAATAATTTTAGCAATTTACTTAAAGTTATTCAAGCAATTTAGCTTGATATTAAGATTTTAACAATTAATCATGATCTTTATCTAAATTTTCAATATCTACACCTAAAGCTAATAAGGTATTTATTGTATAATCTGTAGTTACAAATGCTCTTAAGATGTCTACAATTTTCATATTTTCTTCTAATTTAAATTTAAAATTAAAATAAAATATGAATCCCAGACTTAAAAATAATGAAATATTTAAAAAGTCTATCATAAAAATTAAATTAATTAATTTTGGATGATTATCTGATTATGAAAATTTACTATATAAATGAGTTTTTTAAAGCATAGATGGTATTGCATTATTTTAGGTAGTTGGAGTTTAAGTAATTCTTATGTCACATTCTTAATCTTTTTAAATTTAATTATTTTCTGATTAATTATTATCAATTTCAAATGATTTTTTAGAGATATTTTTATGAAAATAAGATTATTGGTATTTGGCTTTGTTTTATATTTTTTATTTTATTTTCTATTCAATTCTTAAATGTTATAAACTTTATCCATCAATTTAGACACTAATTATTTATTGATCAAATGGTTAAATATTATTAGTATTGCTCATTAATGATAAAAGATCTCTTTAAGAATCAAATGGACTTTATATGTGGGGTCCGATTTGAAATTAATATTCATCAAAATGGATTGATTAGTTTTATTATTTTTCAGAAATATTAGAAAATTCACATCGTTCATCACTTTGAGAGAATATCGATTATGATTATAATTATTATTCTGATTCTATAGGTTCATTATTTTATGAGATTTCCATATTGGTTTCTGTTTTTGATTTAGATTATAGGTTTTTTGGAGAATCTATCCAAATTTAACTTTAATTATCAGCAATTGTAATTTTTAAAAATTCAATCATAAAAGATTTATGTACTTTTCCATTAATTTTAGCTATAGTCATAATGAATTTGCAAGTAGTACAAAAGATGTCTGGAATTCCATTTTCTTTAGGAATTTTGAATAAAATATCATCAGCAGTAATAGAAAAATGATTAAGTAGTTATTCAGTTTCGGAGAAATTAAATTATTAAGAACAACTATTTAATTCTTATCGTAATAATTCTTATTCTTAAAAATCTTTTTCTTTATTATTCAAAAGTTCTAAATATTTTTTAGAGTTTTAGATTAACTGTTTTAATTTAATCTTTTATAAACTTTTTCCATCTTTCAATTTAAATTATTCAATTGCCATAGTTGTAATTCCTTCAATTTTCAATTCATTATTTAAATAAAGATGACCCTTAATATTTTCATAAGCACCATCAGTCTCAATTTATTTAATGAAACAATATATTGGAAATAAATCTCCAGTTAGATTAAAGCAAACATCAATAAACATTTCAACAAATAATAAATCTTTATTTTTTTTTTATGCCAAAAGTGCTCTCTTCTTTCTTAAAATAACAGGTCTATTAGTCAATAGAAATATTTCCATTAATTAATCATGAATTCCTGATAAATGAGGAACTACTAATTAATTAACAGTTAAAATTTCTTCTTAAAATTCTCTCTGTCCATAACCAAAAACATAAGGAGCATTATTTGAGTATTGAATAATCTCTCCTCTTGATATTTTACCTTTTTTAGCATGTCTTGCTAAATTAATTTTTAAATAACACACTTTCTAATTATGAGATCCACTATTAGATTCAAAAAACTTAAAATTTTTAGTTTTTAATTGATTCCTTAATCGTATAAACTTATCAAAATCATTCAGTATTTCTATACAATAAAACATATAAATTAATAAGGAGGTTCTCGATTAAGAGAAATCATTGAATTATTCAATCTTTTTTATAATTTCTAAATTATAATCAACAATGTCATTTAATAATTGATACAATGATTCATAATTATATTTGTTATCGATTAATTATCGAATAAATTCATATTTTTTTTAAACATTTAAAAACATATTTGAAATAAGCTTATCTCTTCTTACTTCAGTAACACGATAATCTTTATATTACAAAGCAACTTCTACTTCTTCTAATTTTACTTAAGGATTCATTTTTAGAAGAATTTGATGTTTTGTGTAACTAAGAAGTACCTACATCGAAACTGAGGAGGTGATACAATGTTTATTTTATATCTTCTCCTTCATTTCCATTATCAATAATAATATTTAATAGCATTCTTCAGAAGTGCTTAAATAAGTAAGAAGTTAAGTAATACGTATTATATCATAATCTTCTTTCTCTTTTTCAATTTCAAAAATCAATTTAGCATAATATCTAATATATCTTTTTATTAATTCAACTTATATTGTAAGGTTTTATATTTTGATATGATAATATATTCTCATTTCTAAGCTATGATAATTATTTTCAATTATTCTTCGTTTTTCACCTCTAAATCCTTTACAATAACAATAAACATTATCACATTAATTAATGTGTTATTTAAGTAAGACAATAATGTTAAGAATAAACTTAGATCTATTTAAATTGATTACTGAAGCATCTTTCTCAATTGTTTATTAATCATCTAATTTCATCAAATCAACTAATCTTAAATAATGAATAAAATATTTAGTATTCTTATTTTATAAGTATTCAAGTTATGTTTATTTTTATTTATTAATTTCTTTCTCAATAACAAATTGTTCTTCTTCTTCCATCAATAGAGCAGTTTTAGATTGAATCCTAGTTCTCTATCTTTATTTTTCTTTGAATTATGAATTGTACAATATTTCTTCATTCATATAAGCTTTAATTTCATTCAACAATCTCGATGATAAGGGAACTGTAATCAATGCTATTGATATGATTTGAATTTAATTGTGCTGAAAATACTATGAGATTATGACTGATAGAGTAAATGGCAACATAATTAGTATTGTTTTAACTTTATAATCTTCCATATAAGGATGACATATAAAGAATTCAATCAAATTACCAACCTATAACATTAGTATAATGGATATATTTAAATAATAATGTGTAGAAGTCTAATCAAAATCTTTCTCTAAATTAATCAACAAATAAAACCATTAAACAAGTATTGGGATTACTGTTATGATTTATTATAACCTGAACCAAAATGAATGAACTAAACGTAAATGATTATTATCTCGAATTGTGTAAGTTTTTTAAATATTCATTGATATATTCCATGATAACAATGCTCCTATATTTGTAAGAACATTTAAAAATATCATCAATCCATAAAGACTATTTCCTATACTTTCATCACGAAAATTAACCTACCATATAATAAAATTCCAAATCATTAAAGGAATCACTAAAATGTGTGGAAATATATTCAAAAGTGATGCCAAAGCGAACTTCTCTAATTGTTAAAATGAAGATTATTCATTTCCCATCAATTACTTATACATAAAGTATTCAATGTAATTATGCATATTATAGGATCTATCCAATAAAGTTAGATTATCTAATCAAATTAAAACTCTTACAATTCAAATTATTTTAATCATCAATTGATGAACGATGCTTAATTGAACTATATTGAAAATATTCCTTATGCATTCCAATCATATTAACACAAATAGGTGTATATATGATTACAATTATTACTAATTGAAATCCAATTAATCCTGAATTAGGAACACTCTCAAGTATTAAAATTGATGGAACACATAATTTAGATATCAATTCAAATAATTAGTATGAATCATCTGTTTTAATTTCCTTATTATATAGTCTTACTTGAAGAATTTCAATTATTACTTTGAAAAGAAATGTTAATGCTAATCTTTATAAATGAGCCACTACTTCTACCAAAATCCATAAATATTTAGAATCTCGAGAAAGTATTATTTGAGAAAACCCTATTGTAAACTATTAATATTCCAACCAATATTGCTTAATCATATAATAATTGAATAATTTCTAATAATTAAAATACAAATATTACTTTTTATTAACGTATATAAATTGTTTTCATCTAAACTTAGTAAAATCAAAATTAAATATTGTTGAGACTTTTTTTAAACCTTAAATTATATACAAATTAATTTATAAAGTATATAGTATTTTAATCATTTTACTTAGATATGATTCTATCAGATATTTGCTAAAGTTAATTTTAATATTAATACAAAAGTTCTCTTTCAATCTTACAACTAAAAGTTTAAGTGTGATTTTATTTTGTGTTTAATTGAAATCATTAAATCTTATTATTTGTTTTTATAGTAAAAAAAGTTTTATGTTAATTGCCAAAGTTAAAAACATCAACTTGAAAACATTCGAAAATTACTCAAATTTATTAATAAATAATTCAATAGAAATTTATTAACCTCTCATATGAAGGAATAATGAAAATTTTTGTTATAAATTTTCTTAAATTAATATTATTACTGACGATAGCTTTTTCATGAAAAAGAATCTAATCTAATAAAATATTTTTAGATATTAAATTATGGGATGTCATGTAGATATGTTACAAGGTATTGTAGTCTATTCTAAATAGAATGTAAAGTTGATGAAGATGTGAAATCAAGAATTAGCGTTTACAATTAGGCTCTTGATAAAATGCAAAGGATCCCAAAATTAAGAAAAGCAAGTATATTAAATTTTATCTTAGTATTCAATCCAATCGTTTAAAGAAGAAAAATGCAAAAATAGGAAGAAGACTGATTTATTATATCTATAAATATATTATTAAATACATAAATATGCAAAAATTGAAATTAATTGAGAATGTTCAATAGCTAGAAGAGGATGCAATGTTATGAATTATGATAAAGGCAATTATTTGGTTGTAGGAGGAGTTAATAGATCAGAAAATGGATTATAAGAATTAAATGATTTTTGGACATTACATAGATCGAAATTTAGCAGGGATTTGGAAAGAATTGATAATAGAAAATTAATAACTTATACATCGCAATCAAGCTGCATGTATAAGTGATGATAAAATATTTTATATATTTGGAGATTAGAAATTTTTGGAATCTAAATCTACAAATAAATTAATTCTATAGAATTGATACAACTTATAAGGTGTTCAGTATAAGGAAATCAAAAGAATAAGCCTAAAGCTAGAAAAGCTCATAGTTTAACTTACTATTAGGAAAGGCTGTATTTATTTGGAAGTACAAATGAAAATTGACCTTTGAATGACTTACATATTTATGATATCAGTATTCTATGTAGTCATATTAAAATGAAATATAGAATTAAGTTTAAGATGACTGCTCAAAGTTTTAAATGAAATTAAAACTACTATAAAAGAGAGTAAATAATTAGCCATAGAAATTAGTTGGAATCTTTGAAGAAATACTAGAAAGACTAAATATAATAGGAAGTCAAAATATTTAATAAGATTCTCTTGTAATTCTAGGAGGCCGAAATAAAAATGATCTCTTATAAGATATTCTAGCTATAAATTTATAAACATTTGAGGTGCTACTAATAGAAAATTTACAAACACCTTTATGTATATATACTTCTGTGCAAATAAAATAAGATATATATATTCTTGGAGACTTCCATAAGGTGCTTCATTTAACTCAAATATTTATTAGTTTTAGGATTAGACAATAAATAAAGCAGGAAATAGCAATAATGGCAAGTAGTGTATTATATTCAGAAGAATTGAATAAAATTATAATCTTTGGAAACTGTAGATGTTGAGTTAAATTAGACATAAATTGTTTATTAAAATATGATTAAGTAAATTATTAAAAATGATAATAAAAGTGTTACTGAGGTTGAATTAATAATTTAATACTGTTTAAACAAAAATCTAAACATTAAAGAAATAAAAAAGTGGAGAATAGGATGAAAAATACAAGAATTATATATTTTTACAAATTTTTCCGCAATAATTTGAATTTAAGTTATATAACATAGGGAGGGAATTATTTCAAATCTTAAAAATTTGATAAAATAAAGAAATTTATAAATCAACTAAAATTGAACTGATGAAATGAAGGAAAACTTAAATTCTTTTTAAACTTAAAAAATTTTGAAACTAGAATCTTTTATAGGTTTGTTAATAAAAAAAATTAAGAAAAAAAATTGAAATTAAATCTTTATATTATATAATTAAAAAATTCATATATAAATATTTATTTTTTAAGTACATTTGGTTTAAATTAAATTGAAATATAAGCATTTTTTTGGTTAAATATTTATTTTTCATTTCTCTAAAACAAATGTGTAAGAAAGAATATTTAAAAAGGGAATTTATTAGACAAGATTTTTATTATTAAATGTTAGAAAAAATGATTTTTAATTAAAACATATAATAATAAAATGATATCTTTTTTGAAGTTATGATTAAGGAAATATAAAATTTAAACTCAAACTAGATCAAGAAATTAAAAAGTTTATTGATTTAGTAACTATTTTAGTTAGAATGAATGAATTAATTAATTTTTAAACTTAAACATTAGTTAAGAAAAAACATTTTAAAATTAATGTAAGAATTTAAGATTTGAAATCTAAAAATTATAAAAGAATTAATTGATTAAATGCTTCGAATTTAGAATTTTAAAGCAATCCTATTGATTTAAATAAGATAAATAGAATTTATAAGATAATAGAATTCGAAATTTAAAGTAATTTTTAACTTTATTGAATAATTTAAAAAATAGATAATATATGAATTAATTATTAGGATAAAAGTTGTTAGGAGAAACATCTGCATAACCAAATACTATTTAAATTAATATTACAGTAAGCATGCCAAATGGTGATGTGCAATTACAAATTTAAATTGATCCTGGAATACCATTCAATGGATTTACGAAAGGAATAACAGAATAAATTTTTGCTCAAAAAATGCAAGCATAATATGAGGAAACTATTGAGTATGTATTACAAAATGGATCCAATATATAATCTAATGAAACAAGAACTTTAAATTAATTAGGATTAAAAAATTTTAGTAGACTTTAAGTAAGACTTAAACTCAAGGGAGGGTGATTGATGTAAAATTTTATTCTATTAATTTTTATGACTTTTAAATAAAAATTATAATTCTACAAGGAAATATATAAATAAGCCATACTATAATGTGTTTCATCTCTTATTCATAAATGTGATTTAAATTGAAAAAATTATATTTGTGATGAATAGCAGGTGTTGCTCATTTAAATATGAGTTTTTTTATAATTATTTAGAAATAATATTTATATTGGGTACTATTTTTATATATATATGTTTAAATTTGCAAACTCTAAATTTTCAATTTAATTTAGAGTTTCTTAATATCTCTTGATTGATAATTTCCCAAAAAGGTTAAATAGTGTGAGAAATTAAAATATATTAAAAATTTATCATAAAAAACCAATCAGGCAATTTGAGTTAGTTTAATTTAAAATAAGGTAAAATGTTGTCATTTTGTACATTTGATAAAAAAATATGTCTATTCTAAGGAATAATATTAAGAAATAATTTTTGTTTGCGTTTTAAATTGAAGTATACATGAAATCTGAATTAATCGATTTAATGATCTAATAGAAAATTTATTTTAATAAGTGGAATTGTTAGAATAAATTTTATGTAAATTAAGTAGATTGGGTAGGAGATAAAGGATAAAAATTTGCATTATGTAATATTGACAATTAAGATCTAAATATTAATATTAAGAAGTCCTATTGATGTGCAATATTGGTTATTCTTATCTCTATTAAACTAATGATACAGTGTATTAGATCAATAGATTGTAAAGTGGAATAATTTTAAGATTATGAGTAATAAAAATTATTATTTTTAGCTGATGGATTGGAAGTATTAATGATAATTGTTCAAGTCTTCCTAGATTAATTGATCTAATTTTAAGATAATGATAAACAAGTGTATCACAAGTAAAATAAAAAGAGTATTGAATTTAAAAGAATTTGTTGGGAAGTACAATAATTTCCTTTAAGTATTCTATTAATAATATCAACATTGAAAGATAAGAAAGATTAATTTATATAGGTATATTAACTACAAGGAGGTAACTTTGTAGAATTACGATTATTATAAAATCAAATATGTTCTTCATCTATTCTTTGACTCTATTCTGGAATAAGGGATTCATTTCTATTTTATTATTATGCTCCTTGTTCTTGTTGTTCCTATTCTTTTTTATCAACTCCAAGTTTACTTCTAATCTTAGAGATAGCTTTGCTAAAATATTTAATTCCTTTTGCAGTGATAGATTGATCTTAATTTAATGCATCATTGCTATAAGAAACTCCATCATATTCCTCTAAAGCTGATGACATATTCTTAACAAATTGAATACTCTCGTTATTTCTATATTATTCTATTGATCTATAGAGTATGATATCAATTAATACTTTTTTATTGTTTTTGAAAAAACGTAAAATTGTTTGCTAATCATGATGGCTGGACTAAAAGCCTAGGCGGTGTTTTACAATAATATTTGATTCATTGAAACTATTTTTGGTTATTCTTATTCTGTAATATTAGATTATGGAGCCTAGTATTCTTATTAAATAAGAGGAGTAGATTCAGCTTCGTGATTCATTTGATTTATTTTATTAATATTAATATTATTTTACAAATTAGCATTATCATTAAAATTTGCTAATTGTAGAATAATTAAATTTCTATAAATAGATTTGTTCATCTATAAGAGCATAAATATATTATTGACTAAGAGTATTATTAAATAATTACAATAATAAATCAAGATAATTTAATTTATATTCATTAATTTAATTGGAAAAGATGATATATAAGTTCAAATATAGAGATGAAATTCATAAAAGATAGTATAAAATTTAAAAGTTTTATTATTGATATATAATGAATAAAAATAATAGATTAAAAATTGATTCATTTTTTAAATAGAAATTTTTAAGACTTTCATTTTATTTGGAATTAGTAAGGTCTTAATAAGAGATAGGAGGATGGAGAAATATTATTTGAAGGATAATTTTAATAGGGATGATGATCATAAATCAGAATTAACAGCTTAATTCAAATAAAAAAAGAATTTTCAACCTAACTTAAAAAATATGCTTTGAATGAATAGAAATCGAAAGTGCTAAATCTCAAATGAAAACATTATAGATGCTTTGTATAAATGTAATTAAGAAAAGGAAAAATACATAATTACTTTCATAAAGATTTTATGTTTGTATGACCTGATCAGCAGCTTTAATTTAAATATCCAGTATAATTCTACCTACTTAGACTTAGATACATTGAGAAAATAACATTTATAGTAAGAAATTAGAATGGAAAAAGGATTTTAAATTTTCAAGAATCTTTGTCAGAAGATAATAGAATACAGTTAGTTATCAAATTATTTTATATAATTTCTATCTTATATCCAACAAATCAATCAATCCAAATAATTTTTATACTATATTTGAATATTTAAATTTTAAAAATAAAAGCCACATTTATAATTTTCATTGATTTTATCTGCAGGAGAAGATTTAAATATTCTTCTAACTTTTAATATTATAATTTAATTTTAAATAGATTGAATGAATAAATTTTACTCTATTACTTAAATTGAGTAATAAATCATTATTAGATATAAACAAAAAAGTATTAAATATTATATAAATCAATCTTATCGTATAATTGCAACTATGTAAATCTAATAAACCAATCGAAAATAGGTTAAAATTATCTAAAATTTCTTTAAAAAAATATAAAATTGAGAGTAAACAAAAATTAATGATGAAAAATGGATCAAATTCATTCAATCTCTTTTGTGTTAATTTTTTAATCTTTCAGTTTATATTGGTTCATAATATTTTAAACTTGTTAGACTACATTATCTTGTTAATTTAGATAACGTATCATGATATACTTCAACATGAGATTTGCCTTTCTGATATAGTTTAAATTTGTTATTATACCATTAATTAACATCAAAATATTTATCATCAAGCAATGTTTAAACTGCTTCAATAGCTTAATTACAATCCAATCTATATTGAGGCTCAGCTTTTAGAAAGAGTTAAACTAAATCAAAAACTTAACCTTTTTCTTTTATAGTGAATTAACATGTTTTATTATTTCTATAAGTTTCTTTTTCATTTTCACTATTAAATAGTCCTTCTAAAGTTAATAATTTGTATAATATGCATCCTGCACTAAATAAATCAACTTTATAATCATAGGCTTGTTTCCTATTCCATACATTTAATACTTCTGGTGCTGAATAACCAGTAGTTCCACATGATGGATATTATTCAAGTTATTTCCCATTAAAACAAGCTAGACCAAAATCAATTATTTTAATTTAACCATTATGATACATCAGATTTGCTGGTTTTAAATCTCTATGAATAATCTCATTCTAATGAATACTTTACAATCCTTTTAAAAGCGACTATATTAAATTTTATAAAAATAAATACCTCCATTATTTTTAATGCTTCTTAAATAGAATAAGGTTTTGTTCTCCGCTCTAAATGTTACTTTAGATTTGAACCATTAAGGTAATCTGTTACTATATAGTAATTAAATTCATCTTTGTAAACTTCTTTGATTTCCAAAATATTTAAACCATTTGCTTGTTTTAACCTATTTAAGATTTCAATTTCATTCTTAATTGTTGGACTTTAATTGTTCTAACATTTAATACTCTTTATTGCTACACGATTTAATGTAAATCTACAGAATTCTTTTGTGACCTAACAATTATTTTATTAATAATACCCTTCCAAAAGAACCAGTCTAAAGAATTTCCTCTTTTTTATAAAACATATCTATTTTTTAGTAACATACTAAACCACCCATCTTTGATTTTAAGTTTATCATATCATTTGGATTTCCAAAAAAGTCTTTTATTTTATCTTAATATGGAAGCTAAAACCCAACTATTTTATTGTTCTCAACAGACCATGTAAATACTATATCAATATTTAACTAATAGATATATTTTGGATTCTACTAATTTTGTTTCTATTTTAAATTATCGAATTCTCTTACTTCACTTAGACTAAGGCATTAATTTGTTAATTATAAGTAATAATTTCGATTCTTGAAAAAGTGTCTTCTCTTTACCACACATTCATAGAGAATGTTAGTATTGTTTGTTAATGAATTTTATCCTGAAGATGTAGGAATAAACATTTATTACATTGAAAATAATAATACTCAATAACTATTTAATCTTACTATTCAAAATATCAATTATTTTGTTCATCTATTACAAACATATTATGAAATATTCCTTAGCCGTTATTAATTTAATCATTTAACTTTTCAATCTTCATTTCTGTTTTTCAATTTATTTATCTTGTCAACAACTCTATTAATTAATATTATTTATAAGTTTAATCAAAAAAATCCTATTCCAAGATTTGCGATCAAGTTTTTTTATGTTTTAAATTTTATTTTTTATAAATTTAGTTATACATAAATATTATCTATTCATATATTTATAAATCTTATTTTATGAGATGACTATCTTAATTATCTTAATTGGTTTATTTTTGTAGATCAATTAATGATTCTAAAAAGTTTATATGTATATCCACTTATATTTGATTGATTTGAAAGCTTTAATTAAAAAGGGTTTAAGTAATTGATTTGTTCTATTTTAAGTGGAATATACAATTCAAATAAATATATATGTAAATGTAATATTCTTAAGACAATCAATTAAATAAACACAATAAATTAAAAATATAATTTATCATTATTTAGCAGCGTTTGATAAGATGCCTCTAAAGATTTTCGATCCTCCAAAATTAAGAATCTAAATTAAATTAATTTAGTTTTACAGGTGATTAAAGTTTTTTGTTGTTTTCTTTTTCTATTTTAGAAGTAGAGGGTTTATGTTCTAAAGATTATGATCTTTCTTTCACATTATCAGGAGTTGGAGGAAGATTAACTGGATTGGTTGCAGGAGTTTAATATTTATTAGTTTTAAGTTTAATTTAGTTTCGATTAGGTATGCCTTCTGCTTTCTTAATTTTTACTTTTTCCTCCTTTTAGATAATATAAAAGAAAAAGATACTTTGAGAATTCGTTTTTCAGCTTCTTTTTAGGCAGATAAGATGAAGTTCTTAAAAATTAAGGAATCTCTAACAATTTTAGAGCATGTCAAACTCCTGAAATATTGATCTAACAATTGTTTGCGTTCTTCAATCAAATCAGGATGCTAATTTACAGATTTCCACCAATGAGTACCAGGAAAGGAAGGTAATGTAATTTTGAGTGTTTCAAGTGCTTGATGAAACTTTTTAAGTTCTGAATATCTATGTTGATTGTAAAAGACTAGTTGATTTTTTTAATTGAAATAGCTATTTCTTATAAGAGATAAGTGTTACTTAAGTTGATAATAAACAGTTTCTTCATTCTTAAAGGATTGAGAAACTGTTATTACAAAGTCATAAACATTATCTTGCATCAAATAGTGTAATAATGTACTTAATAATAATTAATAATGCATAGATTCTATATTGATTAATGTTAAATCATAAGAATCATATTATTAGAGTAAAATTAACTTTGAAAAGAGAGAAGATAGTAAATTTAATAAGAAAGATTGATATGTGATATATAGATAAGAGGTAGAGGAGGTAAAGTTAAGGAGCATACTAAGAAGTGATTAATAAAATGGAATAGGAATATTATTAACGATATTATTAATATAAATAATTTTATAGTTACTCGGAATGAATGAGTCAGACAAAGAGAATAAGAACGGTATCAGGCTCAATAACAGAAGGATAATCGGGAATTATTAACTAAGTATTGAAATATGTAATTAAATAGTTAAAACATTGGGAGAAGGTACTTTTGGAAAGGTTAAGCTGGCCGTTCATTTAAAATCACAAGAAAAAGTTGCTATTAAAATATTGGAGAAAGAGAGAATAGTGGAAGTTGCAGATGTAGAACGAGTTTCCAGAGAAATACATATCTTGAAATTGATTAGACATAAACATGTTATTCAATTGTACGAAGTATGCAGTTTCATTATTATTATAGATAATTGAAACACCAAAGCATATCTTTATAGTGATGGAATTTGCAAATGGAGGAGAACTCTTTGAATACATAGTCAAACATTAACGACTTTAAGAAATTGAGGCGTGCAAATTTTATTAGTAACTGATATCGGGTATCGAATATTTGCACAAACTGTGTATTGTTCATAGAGATCTGAAGCCAGAAAATTTATTATTAGACTTCAACAATTCAATAAAGATTGTTGATTTTGGTTTAGGAAATACTTATAAAAAAGGGGAGTTATTAAAAACTGCATGTGGAAGTCCTTGTTATGCAGCTCCAGAAATGATAGCTGGTTAGAAATATGATTGTTTAATGGTTGATATTTGGAGTAGTGGAGTAATATTATTTGCTAGTATTTGTGGATATTTGCCATTTGAAGTATATATATATATTATGTTTTATTCTTGTAGGATTAAAATACTTCAGCTCTTTATAAGAAAATACTAAATGGAGAATACACTATACCTAAATTTGTATCTAATGAAGGAGCTAATTTTATAAAAGCAGTTCTAACAACTGATCCAAAAAAGAGAATAAGTGTTGAATAAATGAAAACACACCCTTGGTTCAATTTGTATTAAAGTTAATCTAAAATATCTCCAGGAATAATTGTTGGATATAATAGAATGCCAATAGATGAGTCTGTTGTAGATTCATTATCACTACAAGGTTATGACAAAGAATATATTATTAAATGTTTAGATGCCAATAAACATAATGATGTTACTACTGCTTATTATTTAGCATTAAAACGTAATCTAATTAATGGAATTCAATCCAAAGCAGATATCAATAGTTCTCTTTTTGAAGAATCCTTATTAGAACCAAAATAACGACCAAAAAAACGTATGATCTATCTACTATGTCTCTCTAGCACCCATTTCCAATATTGTTGCAACCTCCATCTTTAAATAAAACAGATCTGGTTCTGTTTAATAAAATGGATAAACTAATAACAATTCTTAAAACAGAGGCAAAAGTGTTCCATAAGCCATTAGTGATGATCAAACTTAAATGCTTGTTAACTATGCACACAAAATGAAATATTAACCAATCAATCCTTAATAGAAATTTGCTATACCAACAGATGTTACATAAATCATCTCACTTCAATCTGTTGATGACACTTTAGAAAGACCTAAATCCATTTCTTATCATGTACCAAAAAAAACACCTACTAATCATTAATCTTCTGAACATAATAAAAGTAAAACTGCTGTCCAAAGAGATTCTATCTCACCATAATCTAAAACTAAATAAAAGAAAAGTCTATAATCTAAATAAGTTAATTCCTCTTTTGAATATGTTAGTCTTAATAATTATAATACAAAACAAACTGAAGAAAGAAAAAAAAGTAGTTCAAAACAACCCATTAAAGATTTATTTGATTCAACCAATTATCAAAAAAAATTAATGATAGATTGTAATCAAAAACCTACTAGTCAACTATGGCAATTATAAAATAATTTTAGATAGAACTCTAGATTGTATGAAATCCCAACTTCGACCAAAACTAGCAATTCTGTAAATAAACGATCAAAAGCAATCAAATAAGAAAATAATAAGAGTACTAATCAAAAAAGTACTTTAAATAATAGTTTTAATTTTGATAAAAAATCTTATTATAATTGAAAATACTAAAACTTTTGATAGTTTGAGTATGATAATTATACACATTCATATATCATTTTTATAATTATTTACTATCTCTTCATTTATTTATATTAAAATTTTCCAAATGATAATTTTATTAATAAACAACAAAATTATTCAAAAAAATAATATATACTACTTAAAAATACTAAAATATCAATATAATATTCATTTTGGCATTAATTTAATATCTTAAAAATGTAAGTCTACTTCTTTATTTATTAAAAATAAAGAATTTAGAGCATTATTTTGATATGATTTATTATTAATCAATCTTTAAAATGTTTCTTTCATGTCTCTAATGTGTGTTATTATAAAAATATACTTGTATTCATTCATATTTTAATCGTGAATTTCAAGGATAACTTCTGTTAACCAAAAAAATAATTTTAACATATACAATTATTTGTTAGATTGTAGAATTTTTGTTAATTTTGATATATCAATTAAAAGTAAAAATTGTCTGAATTTACTGTGATTAAATTGTTCTATTTTACTGGATTGAATCAAAAAGTTAAAAGCTTACAACAAATCAAAACAATGCTTTTCTCTAGGATTAGAAACAGCAATTTAATATATTCTTGAAAACAGATTATAATATTGCTTAGGATTATTGTTGTTCTTCACAAGAACTTTCTTTGAAGTACTTTAAATCAATTTTAATTCTTGAGCTTTCAAATTAAATTAACATTCTGATGTCAATAGAACTATTCCAGAAATATAATATAAATTCATTGCAAGATGAATAAAACTTGTTTTTATGGATGATAAATAACTTTTGAGTTCTTCCATCATCATATCAAATTTTGAGATAAATGCTTTATGTATAGAAAGTAATTCGTTCTAATTAAATTTATAAATTTACAATATTATTTCCTTTAATGATATTTTCAATAAAATCTCTATGCTATTCTAAAAGATTTTATTAAAATTATTTTTAGACAATAGATTCAATAAAATCTTGTGTTCTTTGATTGTCACCAAACATATTTTCAAAATTTTCTAAGATTTTTTTGTTCTAAAACACTTCAACACTATATTGATATTTCATCATTTCTGCTTGAATTTTATCAATAGCTTATGAAAGATCAGGTTCAGTAAGAATAATTAATAAACCTCCAATATCTGGATATTATTCAAATACTTATCCAAGGATTCCATTTAATACTAAATCCATATCTGCAAAAGTGCTATCGTTTTGTATATCTAAAAGGGATCGTATAATAAAAAATAATGTAAAATATTCTAATTTAGAAACTAAGGAAGCAGATGTTTTATTAATCTCTTAAAGTACATCATCATATCTTTGTAAAAGTATATCCATTCTATAACCAATATTTCTAGGAATAGCATCTTACAAATCATTTAATGTCCAATTATCACATCCATTACCATTTTGAATATGAGTTGTTTTTAGAGTCATCCATAAAAATAAATCTTAATCTTATGTAAAATGTTTATCTTAAAAGACCTCCTTTACTGATCCTGAATCAAAGGCAATTAAATAGCATTGTTCAAATAAATCATCAACACTAAATTAATCAAGCTTTTATATCTTCTAATAATTGGTTTAACTACTTATATTCAAATATATACGTTTTATTTTCCAAAAGTTCAAAGAATAATTGATATTTTTAATGTTTAAGAAATTAAAACAAAATTTATTTTGCTTATTTAAGTTATCCACATCTCATTAGCAAGAATAAAATTCCACTTGGATAATATTAGTCAATTTTTTAAATTGTGAGTTCTTTGGATAATATATCATAGTAAATATCTTTAAATTTCTCTACAAAATTATTATTTTTAATTACAATTAATATTTGCTAAATCCAAAATACCAATTCTCTTATTCATCTCAGCTTCTAATATTTATATTGAGTTTTAAATAAGATCTTGTTGGATTGTATCAGATTAAAATTATATTCCTTTAAATTGAAGAGAAAGTAATCTCATTATATCCTTATGATCACTTTATATATTCACAAAACATGAAAATAAAGATTCGTAATAATCATTTTTATCAACTGTTTCATTTTATTATAGTTTTTTTTATAATTCTATAAATTGCTCCAATTTTTCATAAAATTCTTATTCTTTAAATAATTTTTCAATTATGAATTAATTGTGTGTATTAAATGAAATAGATTTGATTGTTACTGATTTTGTTTAAATTTAATCTTATTTATTCTCATGTAATAAATTTAATAATTCCCTTTTTTATCTATTTTATGTAAGTATTTCTTTTTTTTAAATTGTATTAATAATCTATAAATCATGCTAATTTTATTTACATTTTTATTCATTTAAAATTTGCTATTGATTTCTAAATATAATGGCACTTAAAAGGAATAAAGATCTTTAACTTTAATTTAAGATTAAAATAATAAATTTTGTTTTTCTTAATCTGCTTTGATTCTTTAACTCAATCTTTATAATTCATCTTTTTTTGTATATTCCAAATTACGTTCATTTAAGTTAAATTTTTGAAATAATTAACAAACTTTCTAACTGAGAGTGTCAACCAATAAATCTATAATAATAAATTTAAATCATACATTAAGTTTATTTAACATGAATTTGTTTTAGAAATTTTTTCTATATTCTGTTTTTTAAATACTTAGTTTGTTACATGAATAATAACAATTCCTATTATTTTGTCTATGAAAATTAGCAAGCATATTTACTAATTCAGGTTTATCCTTATAATACTTAACTAGATTCTCAAATTCAGCTTTCTATTGTGTTTGAATTGTAGGCTACAAAGGTAATGATGTATTCTATTAAGGCTATGTATTTTGAGTAGTTTATTATAAAGGTTAAGTCAATAACCCTAATTATGTTTAGGCTGTTGGCAATGTTTAAGCTATTTTAGAATAAATGTATTACTTTAGCCAAATATTATAGATGGTTACTAAGTGATAGGTTAGGTAGTTTGAGCAATGGTGGGCTATAATCCGATCATTACTTAATTTTAGAGTACTTTTTATTTAAAATATTAAATAATTATTTACCACACTTCATTATGACATTTTATTCGTAATCATAATTTATATGTTATAAATAAATTAATCATTGCAGTAAGAAGTATTGATAAATATATATATATATTTGCAATTCATCTAAGTTTTCCAATTGTTGATTTGTGTATTTTATTTATCCTAAAAGTACTTATAGATTTTTTTATTTGTAAATCCATTTCACCAAAATCTAACTTTCTTTATACACATTGCATCTCGATATCACTGAATGTTTTTTAGAATTTGTTTCCAAATGGTTAACTTATCATTTATTGAGTTTTGCTTGATTATTTAGGAGGTGTGAATGACATTTTGTAAACAATAATTTTTATTATTAAAAATATTATTATTATAAAAGTATATTATGCACTTGTAAATACAATAATATTTTGCTTCATTATTACAATTCTACTTTATTTTATTTTATTATATACAAATTTATTTTTGAATAAGGTTATTAAAGTTATTCGTTGCATGTTTAAATTCAAATTAAATAAATTATGAACAATAAAGGAATGTTTAAACATAGAGATATCAATACTTTTTTAACAAACAATCCAACAACAGAAAAATAATCTAAAAAACCGTTTGAATATTTGAATCTGTCTTATCCAAAGTAATTTGATTATTCTCCCATTAAGAAACAATCTTATTCATCAAAAGCTAACGAAATATAATATAAAAGTTATTAAGAACCTTCATTTTTAAAATAGAACACTTTACCGAATTATGAACCAACAAAATGTTCTAGTATAAAAAATGGAATCATAAAAGCATATGCAGCTAATACAAATTAAGGATTAGTTAGAGATTATAATGAAGATAGAGTTTCAATCATATTGAACATTATAAAACCATAAAGTAGAGAAAATGAATAATGGCCAAAATGTTCATATTTTGGAGTATATGATGGACATGGAGGATCAGCTTGTGCAGACTTCTTAAGAGACAATTTACATTAATTTGTACTTAAAGAACCAGATTTTCCATGGAATCCAATTAGTGCAATAACTAAAGGTTTTGGTGCAGCAGAAAAATGTTTTATCTAAATGGCTGAAGATTCATTTAATAAAGGAATTCCAGAAAGAAGTGGATCATGTGCAATTGTAATATTAATTGTTGGAGATACTTGTTATGTAGCTAATGTAGGGGATAGTAGAGCAATATTAAGCGCAGAAAATGGAAAAAAAATTATTGATCTTTCAAATGATCACAAACCTGAATATGAAAAAAATAGAATTATTAAAGCTGGAGGATAAGTGTATCAAACACATGGAATAAATGAAGATGGATTAACAATTTTAGGGCCAATGAGAGTGAATCCTGGAAAATTGTCTGTTTCAAGAACTTTTGGAGATATTGAAGCTAAATAGGAGAGATTTGGTGGGAAACCAAAAGTTGTTATAGCAGAACCAGAGATAAAGTAATTTAAAATAGTTTAGGATCATGATTTTATTGTTTTAGGAAGTAATAAATTAAAAATAATAATAATAGGTGATGGTATATTTGACACAATGAGTTCAAGAGATGTAATAAATGGTATTTGGAAAGATGTTTAGAGTAATTAGAATTTGAATGATTTACATAATGTAATGTCAAATGCTGTTGAGTCAGTAATAAAAGAAAGTCTATTAAGAAAGTCAATAGATAATGTGACCGTATTAATAATAGCATTTTCAATTAATCCTTTAAGAGAGGAAGAGGCAAGAGTAAAAACAATATCATATATTGATTAATTAGTTAAATAGAGTAGCAATATATCTGGTATAAGATCTAGGTAAATATGTAAATTATAGAATAATAGTTATGATAGAAAATATAATGATGAGAATAATCCATTTTTTATGAATGCTTAGAAATAGAAATAAAATGCAAAGTTAACTAAAATAATTAATTTGGGAGAGAATTTTCGATATCGTTTAATTGGTTGAGAGTGATGAATTTTAAAATTATTTAAAAAATTAAATAATATATAATAAATAATATATAT